TACATCACTGGAGATTACTGGTATGTTTATACATCACTGGAGATTACTGGTATGTTTATACATCACTGGAGATTACTGGTATGTTTATACATCACGGGAGATTACTGGTATGTTTATACATCACTGGAGATTACTGGTATGTTTATACATCACTGAGATTACTGGTATGTTTATACATCACTGGAGATTACTGGTATGTTTATACATCACTGGAGATTACTGGTATGTTTATACATCACTGGAGATTACTGGTATGTTTATACATCACTGGAGATTACTGGTATGTTTATACATCACTGGAGATTACTGGTATGTTTATACATCACTAGAGATTACTGGTATGTTTATACATCACTAGAGATTACTGGTATGTTTATACATCACTGGAGATTACTGGTATGTTTATACATCACTAGAGATTACTGGTATGTTTATACATCACGGGAGATTACTGGTATGTTTATACATCACTGGAGATTACTGGTATGTTTATACATCACGGGAGATTACTGGTATGTTTATACATCACTAGAGATTACTGGTATGTTTATACATCACGGGAGATTACTGGTATGTTTATACATCACTAGAGATTACTGGTATGTTTATACATCACGGGAGATTACTGGTATGTTTATACATCACTAGAGATTACTGGTATGTTTATACATCACGGAGATTACTGGTATGTTTATACATACATCACTAGAGATTACTGGTATGTTTATACATCATGGGAGATTACTGGTATGTTTATACATCACTGGAGATTACTGGTATGTTTATACATCACTGGAGATTACTGGTATGTTTATACATCACTGGAGATTACTGGTATGTTTATACATCACTAGAGATTACTGGTATGTTTATACATCACTAGAGATTACTGGTATGTTTATACATCATGGGAGATTACTGGTATGTTTATACATCACTGGAGATTACTGGTATGTTTATACATCACTGGAGATTACTGGTATGTTTATACATCACTGGAGATTACTGGTATGTTTATACATCACTGGAGATTACTGGTATGTTTATACATCACTGGAGATTACTGGTATGTTTATACATCACTGGAGATTACTGGTATGTTTATACATCACGGGAGGTTACTGGTATGTTTATACATCACTAGAGATTACTGGTATGTTTATACATCACTGGAGATTACTGGTATGTTTATACATCACTGGAGATTACTGGTATGTTTATACATCACTGGAGATTACTGGTATGTTTATACATCACTGGAGATTACTGGTATGTTTATACATCACTGGAGATTACTGGTATGTTTATACATCACTGGAGATTACTGGTATGTTTATACATCACTGGAGATTACTGGTATGTTTATACATCACGGGAGGTTACTGGTATGTTTATACATCACTAGAGATTACTGGTATGTTTATACATCACTGGAGATTACTGGTATGTTTATACATCACTGGAGATTACTGGTATGTTTATACATCACTGGAGATTACTGGTATGTTTATACATCACTGGAGATTACTGGTATGTTTATACATCACTAGAGATTACTGGTATGTTTATACATCACGGGAGAATACTGGTATGTTTATACATCACGGGGAGATTACTGGTATGTTTATACATCACTGGAGATTACTGGTATGTTTATACATCACTGGAGATTACTGGTATGTTTATACATCACTAGAGATTACTGGTATGTTTATACATCACTGGAGATTACTGGTATGTTTATACATCACGGGAGATTACTGGTATGTTTATACATCATGGGAGATTACTGGTATGTTTATACATCACTGGAGATTACTGGTATGTTTATACATCACTGGAGATTACTGGTATGTTTATACATCACTAGAGATTACTGGTATGTTTATACATCACTAGAGATTACTGGTATGTTTATACATCACTAGAGATTACTGGTATGTTTATACATCACTGGAGATTACTGGTATGTTTATACATCACGGGAGATTACTGGTATGTTTATACATCACTAGAGATTACTGGTATGTTTATACATCACTGGAGATTACTGGTATGTTTATACATCACTAGAGATTACTGGTATGTTTATACATCACTGGAGATTACTGGTATGTTTATACATCACTGGAGATTACTGGTATGTTTATACATCACTGGAGATTACTGGTATGTTTATACATCACGGGAGATTACTGGTATGTTTATACATCACTAGAGATTACTGGTATGTTTATACATCACGGGAGATTACTGGTATGTTTATACATCACTAGAGATTACTGGTATGTTTATACATCACGGGAGATTACTGGTATGTTTATACATCACTGGAGATTACTGGTATGTTTATACATCACGGGAGATTACTGGTATGTTTATACATCACTGGAGATTACTGGTATGTTTATACATCACGGGAGATTACTGGTATGTTTATACATCACTAGAGATTACTGGTATGTTTATACATCACTGGAGATTACTGGTATGTTTATACATCACTGGAGATTACTGGTATGTTTATACATCACTAGAGATTACTGGTATGTTTATACATCACTGGAGATTACTGGTATGTTTATACATCACTAGAGATTACTGGTATGTTTATACATCACTGGAGATTACTGGTATGTTTATACATCACTGGAGATTACTGGTATGTTTATACATCACTAGAGATTACTGGTATGTTTATACATCACGGGGAGATTACTGGTATGTTTATACATCACGGAGATTACTGGTATGTTTATACATCACTAGAGATTACTGGTATGTTTATACATCACGGGAGATTACTGGTATGTTTATACATCACGGGAGATTACTGGTATGTTTATACATCACTGGAGATTACTGGTATGTTTATACATCACTGGAGATTACTGGTATGTTTATACATCACTAGAGATTACTGGTATGTTTATACATCACTAGAGATTACTGGTATGTTTATACATCACTGGAGATTACTGGTATGTTTATACATCACTGGAGATTACTGGTATGTTTATACATCACTAGAGATTACTGGTATGTTTATACATCACGGGAGATTACTGGTATGTTTATACATCACGGGAGATTACTGGTATGTTTATACATCACTGGAGATTACTGGTATGTTTATACATCACTGGAGATTACTGGTATGTTTATACATCACTAGAGATTACTGGTATGTTTATACATCACTAGAGATTACTGGTATGTTTATACATCACGGGAGATTACTGGTATGTTTATACATCACGGGAGATTACTGGTATGTTTATACATCACTAGAGATTACTGGTATGTTTATACATCACTGGAGATTACTGGTATGTTTATACATCACTGGAGATTACTGGTATGTTTATACATCACTGGAGATTACTGGTATGTTTATACATCACTAGAGATTACTGGTATGTTTATACATCACGGGAGATTACTGGTATGTTTATACATCATGGGAGATTACTGGTATGTTTATACATCACTAGAGATTACTGGTATGTTTATACATCACGGGAGATTACTGGTATGTTTATACATCACGGGAGATTACTGGTATGTTTATACATCACTAGAGATTACTGGTATGTTTATACATCACTGGAGATTACTGGTATGTTTATACATCACTGGAGATTACTGGTATGTTTATACATCACTGGAGATTACTGGTATGTTTATACATCACGGAGATTACTGGTATGTTTATACATCACTGGAGATTACTGGTATGTTTATACATCACTGGAGATTACTGGTATGTTTATACATCACGGGAGATTACTGGTATGTTTATACATCACTGGAGATTACTGGTATGTTTATACATCACGGGAGATTACTGGTATGTTTATACATCACGGGGAGATTACTGGTATGTTTATACATCACTGGACGGAGATTACTGGTATGTTTATACATCACTGGAGATTACTGGTATGACTGGAGATTACTGGTATGTTTACATCACGGGAGATTACTGTTTATACATCATACATCACGGAGAGATTACTGGTATGTTTATACATCACTGGAGATTACTGGTATGTTTATACATCACTGGAGATTACTGGTATGTTTATACATCATGGAGATTACTGGTATGTTTATACATCACTGGAGATTACTGGTATGTTTATACATCACTGGAGATTACTGGTATGTTTATACATCACTGGAGATTACTGGTATGTTTATACATCACGGAGATTACTGGTATGTTTATACATCACGGAGATTACTGGTATGTTTATACATCACTAGAGATTACTGGTATGTTTATACATCACTGGAGATTACTGGTATGTTTATACATCACTAGAGATTACTGGTATGTTTATACATCACTAGAGATTACTGGTATGTTTATACATCACGGGAGATTACTGGTATGTTTATACATCACTGGAGATTACTGGTATGTTTATACATCACTGGAGATTACTGGTATGTTTATACATCACGGGAGATTACTGGTATGTTTATACATCACTAGAGATTACTGGTATGTTTATACATCACGGGAGATTACTGGTATGTTTATACATCACGGAGATTACTGGTATGTTTATACATCACGGGAGATTACTGGTATGTTTATACATCACTAGAGATTACTGGTATGTTTATACATCACGGGAGGTTACTGGTATGTTTATACATCACTGGAGATTACTGGTATGTTTATACATCACTGGAGATTACTGGTATGTTTATACATCACTGGAGATTACTGGTATGTTTATACATCACTGGAGATTACTGGTATGTTTATACATCACTGGAGATTACTGGTATGTTTATACATCACTGGAGATTACTGGTATGTTTATACATCACGGGAGATTACTGGTATGTTTATACATCACGGGAGATTACTGGTATGTTTATACATCACTAGAGATTACTAAAAACTTTACTTTGATTAACACAGCTACCAGTTTTGTACTCAAAGAATTTCAGTTGACAATATGTTTCATGATTTTGTATTGCAGGCCATGTCTTCTATCACTGGACCTCAGCCACAATAACCTCAGTGACCTGCTGGATGTTGTTCGGAAACTGAGCACTCTACCCAAGCTCCGCAATCTGATCTTACTCGGCAATCCACTGTCGGTGAGCAGCCTTGAGTCAATGTGGCTTCCCATATTGTCAAACCTTGCTGATTTTATCATAACTGAAATAACTGAATCGGACAAGAAGAAGAAAAAAAACACTACTGTTCAAAATCATTTGTGTCATTGTAACTAATTTCAGTCAGAATATTTCAAAATGCAGTAATTATAGAATGCAATTTTTAACCCTTGTCATTGACTGGGTGTTTGGTTAACAAAGAATTTAACTTATTTTTGTCATTATGCCAAAGAATATTTTTGCAATGATTTTAGTTGATACCCGGTTACCGTGGTTACACAATCGACTCGCTAAGGAAGTTAAGCATCCTGGATGATGTCAGGATATCAGCAGATGAGAAGCATCATTTCAAGGGCTTGGCGAGACGGAGAGGTGAGGCACATGGCGTCATTCTGGTCAATGTTAAGAAGCCCATAGGCATTCTGGGTTAGAATTAATCCTCAGCAACCAATTATGGTCATAAGCGATGGCTTAATGGGACATGTGGTCAGGCTCAGTGTGTTGTACTTGTTGTATGGAGTATCATTGTACTCCAAAGGCATGGAGTTTTGCAATTTCGATCAATGGATTGTCATTTCAGGATTTAATTGTTTAAATGCTGACAATAAAATATTGATTATTGCTGACTGGGTAATAAATAATAATAATAAACAAAGAATTTTAGGCTAGTTGTTCTTTTTTGTTTCTTCTTTTTAATTAATATTTTTGTTTCTGAGTTCATGTTACAGAAACTGAACAAAGCACTGTTTGTTATTTACTGTTGTGCTACGCTGAAGGGGTCGTTGTCGGCATGGGTACTGTATACAGAAATGTACCCTAGCCAAAATCGGTATACAGAAACGTACCCTTGGACGATTCCATTCCGCAGTGTGTTGTTTTCTTGATTGGAACTGTCATACAGTGGTATTAGATGCATTTGATTACGTTCTATAAGAAACGACCATGCACGGTCATGAATATTTCGCAGAGCACAATACCATTTGCAATCAGTTGAACGGGAACTACTACATACGGCTTCGATTTTAGGTTGCGAAATATGGACTCATCGTCCGTGTAAGGTGCCGGGTACGTTTCTGTATTTTGATCTTGTTTAGGGTACATTACTGTATACAGAAACGTACCTGGGATACGTATCTGTAGTACCTGTGCCGACAACGACCCCTTCAGAGTTACTTTGGTATCAGAAGGGGTCTGGTATGTTTAGCTTATGTATGATGATGTACCAAGTGAATATGGGAGTGTTTTGGGTGTGGAGTTGCAAGTGTTCCGTGTTGTTTCAGAGTATGTACTAGATGAAGCTAAGCTGACCATAGAAGTGTCCCAGATGACCGGTGTACCTGTACCAGAAGAACTTAAGGTGAGTGTTGTTGTCATTGTTGAAAGACTCCTCATTATCAAAGGGGCAATGGAATTCATTTGGAACTGATCACATAAACCTGAGGTTGCAAACTATGAATTCCTCTTAGACTCGGGTCCCGAGGTGGGCACATTTGCGTAGTATCCTTGGACAAGATACTTAGATCCACATTGTCTCAGTTTCACCCAGCTGTAAAATGGGTACCCGTCAGGATGAGCTGGCAATGTGAGTGTTTAGTTCATTGCGCCTAACAGGCAGCATGGCTGTATACTCCCCAGGGAGTTGAAGAAGTATCGGAAAGTACGATAGTGTCCTATGACCGGAGATAGTAATGTACGTAGCGCCGTGAGCAGGCAATGTGCCTGGATATGAGCCATATACCGGTAAGCGGACTATTACTATTACTATTACTCAATTTCTTACACAAACAATAAAAGGCATGCATTGTAATGTTTATCAACATCGTTTACCTGTGTAACTGTCAGGAATTTTGTATGGCACATGCAGAGATGCCAACCCTATTTCGGGCCTAAGTGTAATACTAGAGGTCAAAAAGTGTAATTTGGACCTAAAAAGTGTAATACTTGTCTGCCGATCGCTTCAACATGGTAAACGTTTTCACGAAAAGGAAGATTCTAGACAGAAACACATGTGACCAATCATTATGAATCTCCATACATCGAAAATTGTTGGTCATGTGACTCAACATACTTTAATTTCTTGCAAGTTAATTGGAATGAGTGCGATGCTAAGAGTAAGCGATTCCTATCGGTGCAAGGCCATTTCTGCACCCCTGCACCTGTGCGTTACGAAACACTTCCCTGTGAAAATTTATCCACTTAACTGATTTTCGAAAAACGAGAAGAAAAGCATCTTGTCGTCTTGTCCTCCATACTGTGATCCGATACCCGTGCTTCAAACAGTTCAAAATTACCATTGAGGTGTTCGGTAAGATAAATACGTTGTTGACTGGTCCCTCAGAGCCCATGGGTTGATGTATCCTCGATGTATGTTTATGTTCCGCGTAATTTTCGCAGATTAAGTGTAATGGCGTAATTTAATGGTCAAAATCGTAATAATTACGCCTAAAGCGTAAGGGTTGGCATCTCTGCACATGTTTTTATGTAGGACAGATGTACCATTGCTCTGGTATGACATGATGATACCATATGCTGACCTGACAAATGTGCATTTTGAAACACACAGTGCTGACTGCCAAGAGTTTCTAACAGACCAGTTGTTACTTAAAGGAAGGAATGGGTCAGAGTGAATCAGGGAGGGTCACCCCAAACATTACTGTTTCTAGGGTACAACACACCTATATGGTCCGTCCTTAATATTGGACACAATATCCCCATCAGTAACTGACTCAGATGCTGTTGATTACGGTCCAGAAACGTCCTCATTTCAAATTCCATTTCACTGCTAGTCTGAGTCAAACACATACCGCACAAGCAGAGCCCTAAACATGTATTATATTACCACAATGTTACAATGGTGAGATCTGATTGGTTGGTGTAATCATGGTAAAATACATTATATCTCATCTAACAGGCACATACATTTCTTAGACCTTCTTCTCTTATGCCTTGCCATGAAGAAAACAGACTGCACATGGATTTCAGAGTTGGTCCTGAGAATACATCCTTTACACTCTCCTCTGATGCAAAAAAGTCACATGTTTCCGAGTTAACGGAGGTCACATGACAAGCATAAACTATTCTCAGTGTGATCAAACAGCTGTTTTATTTGTTAATTGGTTTAAATTTTGAATGAAATAACTTTTACCGTGGCAACTTGAAATATGTTGGTAAGATAATATGGAAAGATAATTTGTCTCCTACTTGTGCAACTCTTATTATAGAACCCAGAGGAGCAGCCCGAGTTCCCTATCGTAGAGAGAACGTACTATGTGGAATTCATGTTCTTGGAGGATTCTGGCACCAAGGCGGAGGTGTTGCATGTCCCAGACGATGTCACGGAGATGCCCCTCCTGCCAGGGACGGAGGGACGGCAGCTGGGAGCCTCCCCTGACTTGGTGAGCATCACATCAGTTGTTGTTGCACCAGGTACAGGTGGCCCTAGGTTAGATCTGTGTATCAGGAGTGGGTCTTGAGGGGAGGGTAAAAAAGGGAATGCAAGTTTTTGGGGAGGGCCACGAAAACAACGTTCAAGTCAAACATGGGGAAAGTCAGCAGAAATATATGACTGAGTATGTTTTTAGCAATATTCCAGCAATATCACGACCGGGAACACCAGATATGCGCTTCACACATTGTACACGTGGGGATTCGAACCCGGGTCTTCGGGGTGACGAGTGGACGCTTTAACCACTAGGCCACCCCACTGCCCCTCAGAAATAAGACAATGAGTAGGGAAGGGTCATGATATTTAGGATATCAGGCATAATATCATCTGAAACAATGCCCTGATGATTTTCATCAGTTTCAGATCCATTTGAATTGTGTTTCTTTCTTCAATGCCGAGCCTCAAATAAACATGGGGGCTTCAGAATATTGACGTCTTCATTAAATGCCATATTGTTTTTATGCACAGAATCCTCATCATTTTCTTAATGATTAAACACAATAGGTCTAAATAGAAATGTCTGCCCAGGCATTGAAATCAAGCAAATAATTGGTGGCAAGCAAACAGTTTGTAAAACTCTCAATTCATAGCACAGTCTCAAATTTTGATGTATGCTGAAGTTAAAATAAATGTTTGTCAGTAGTAATTACTCATCATACAGAAAAGTGAATTTAAGTGAATTTGTTTCAACTTTTTCTTTCCTTGTTCACCAGTCTGACCTTGGTGTTGGGTCACAAGGTGAAAGGTCAAACAGCCAGCAGGAAAAGAGTGTCTGCTTCACCAGTAAACCGGACCTTGAGACAGTGCAAGAATTGGCAGGTAACCATAGCAACATGGGGATTTCACATGACACTTGAAAATTTGTTGGAGCTATCAAGCAAGGTCTAATATCATTGCGACAGAGATATTAGCTGTAAGCCATTATGATGTCATACGTCTAGCGGTATTACACTAGTGTAACATATTGCCGTAAATATATTACACTGCAGTATCCTACATGGGCGAGTAATATATAGAGGATACTAAACGTCCTTCCATGTAATACCATACTTATCAAATGAGCGAAAGCGAATTTGATGCTAAATCTTTCTCGGAGTTTAATAAATTCTGTTTATTACTCTCCAACATAAACTGATAGAAACTGCCTACGAAGTGTGATGACTCTCAGCTTTCTACGAGTCAAGCAAGGTCTAATACCATTCTGACAGAGGTATTAGCATTGTGACGTCATAACTGTAACCATTATGACGTCATACGTCTAGCGGTATTACACTAGTGTAATATTGCAGTAAAAATATTACACTGCAGTATCTTCCACGGGCGAGTAATAAACGGTCATATACAGCAAGCATCTCCTTCTCTGAGCAGAGGTCCCTTTGTCTGTACTTGGGGGAGAATCCTTGGCGGATGACTTCATTGAGGACGACACGGCACGGATCGAGCCAGTCCAGCGCCAGATGAAACTCGGTCCACTGAGAACAGGAGGTCTGCCTTGGGCTGAGGAGATGGAGGTGAACTGGTCAAGCACTCAGGTCAGGGATGACCTGCACAATCTGAGGGACTTCTTCAGCAAGGGCATGGACTTCTCGGTGGTGGAGCAAGTGGTCAGTTCACATAACATGTTCTGGAGTCACTTTATGATACTTTGTCAATGGACTGCCATAGTAGAAAGCAAACTTGGGAAAAATTATTATTTTGTTCAAACAATCTTTTTTCAAGCATATAGTTCTGATTTAATTAATTTAGACATACGATATTTCATAATTGAAGTTGAACACTACATTCAATGTTTACCAACATTTGCTGCGGACTTGTGGCGAAATATTAACTTCTAAGCAGGGCCTAGATTTTCGAAGCTCTCTTAGCGCTAAGATAGTCGTAAGTGCCATACATTAAGATTAACTTACGACTATCTTAGCTCTAAGAGAGCTTCGAAAATCTAGGCCCAGGTCTGGATAAACTTGATAAATCCCTGTAGTCCCTCCCTCCCTTGTATACAGTTAGATATCCAATTCTATGAAGAAACCTTGAAGTTTTTAAATGTTAAAGTTGAAATGAGGATGAGTTTATGCTGCTGCTGCTGAGAACAAGCTGAGAATGGAATAGGGAGTTATTGTTGTATCAAAGCTATACTTTAGGTTCTGTAACAGAGTTTACCTTGCATATGGCACCATTATCGTTTTAACTGTGCAGTTTTGGGAAAAAAAGTGTGGTATGGATAATTCAAGATGGAAGTCATATCCATTATTTTGTCATATCCAGCATTGTTGATAAGTTTCCATGTATAGTTGATGCGACCGATTATGTTTTCCGGATACCACAATTGAATGTATTTTCAGTTTGGGGCCTGGGGAGATGTAATGCCTTTTGTTTTGCAGGGCTAGTAACATGTGATGTGAGATGTTGAAGTGTTTACTGAGTAGCTCTCCTAGCCTGTGTATTGAAGACTGATTAATAATATGGCTGCAGGTTCTGTGCTATCCTCTGGAGGAAGAGGAAGGGGACAGGGCCAGTGTGGCCGGGTCAGTTAAGAAGGGCAAAGACGACAAGAATGCCAAGGCAGATAAAAAGGGCAAGGTGAGCAATAATAATAATTCTGTGATGGATCAGCAACTATTGTTTTCATGACATTTTCTTTGCTATACGAGGTATACTGGTGTATCATCTATTCAGCTGAGGAGGTCATTGAAATTTGTTTCTTGTTGAATTTTTCTTATTGCTTAGCTCAGCAAAATCCCAGCTATAGGACAAAAGTCTGTAAATGACAAGACAATCCAGTGATTGATATTATGAGCAGTGTCATAATATCAATCACTGGATTGTCTGGCCATAAATGATGACATGCGTTTAACCATGTCATCGAACCTGATCACGTGGTCCAGTGGTTCTCTCTATTCACCAGCATGGACTGCTGGGTACCTTTACCTACCTGGGTGCCATTGTTCAAAGTGATCTTAGCGCTAAGGTGACCGTAACTCCTGTACCTTAACTTAGACTTAATGTAGTCTTAGCGCTTACAACAGCACCCAGGAACTCCGAAGGTAGTCTTAGAAGGTCGCTAGGGTTCGATCCCCAACCGCTGGCCATACCAAAAAAGACATTAAATATGGACTTGTTGTCCTTTTGTACAACAGCGAGTCAGTATAATGTGTCCAGTGGGGAATCTTATGCTTCACCGCGGCATGGTATCTCAGCGGGGTAGAAATGAGAGGCAAGCAGGGACTATACAATGTCAGCCTTCAGGGTTGCACGGTAGTCCACGGACTGGGGTGCATGAGAGGCTTGACAAAGTACTGGGTAGTAGAGACTATAATCTCAATGGCAAGCTGACAAGTTTGCTCTTATAAGGAAAAAGTAGAATGGAGGAACTTTATGTGGCAGTTTAAATACTGAGCATGTGGTACATCTAGTTTTCACTAAATAATGTATTCATGATAAGTCACTGTATGCTAAGCAGTATATTTTTTAATGAGTTTTTAAAAAGGTGCAGATATTCCAGCTCCAATTCATCCTTTTTTTGAACATTTAAATGTTTTTGATATGCTTTGTTTTTATAATTTCAGCTGTTATGCATAACTGTAGATACTCATTTCTTCTTCATTTTCAGCCTGAGCCCAAGAAAGAGGATAAAAAGAAGAAAAAGAAAGAGCCTGAGGTTGAGCTGAGGCGGACAGAACCTCAGCTGACCACTCTAGCTACGTTCCATGTCCAGCTGGACGACTTCCTGGAGGGGGACTTCGAGGTGATGTCAGTGTTCTCCCACGGGGGCGTGGAGACGGCAGCGTCAACAGTCTGCACCGAGTCACCTGAACTTGGTAGAAAGGTGAGCACCATGCTGCTGTCTACTGTTGAGTCCTTATTTGTTAACGTGTCAGACAGTCGTTAAGAAGACTGGTTTCCATACCCATTCCTGATTTTGAATACACATCATTAGTTTGTAAACACGCTGAAATGCCATGGTAGTGTTGACTGTTAAACCTGGCTGATTCTACTGCTGGCTTTAACCAAACTTGACTACTGAATTGCCCATTCATTTTGTCACTAGGCTCAACATGAGTGGCAGTCCTCGGATGTTCCAGTTCTAGTTTTGCTTTAAGTTTATGAAATGGATGGTAGTGGCTGATCATTACCATAATTATACTGAGAAAGTATTTCATTTTGACCTACGGTGCTCTTTAGGTCCAATCCTATGAAATCTGATCTTTACTCAGGTGTGATTTCTCACGTCTTGTGAACTTACTAATCAACATCTCGGGAAAAGTGGCAAATATTCAGCCATTCCTGTCTGATTTCCGTACCTCAGAAATTTACAGAAAGTTGGAAATGTAATGTGAACCAAATATAGTGATGTTATTATTTTGTTGTTGGTATTTTTTACAAGTCTGGGCAACAAACATGTTTGGGTTCTCTTTTTTGCGGAAATCAAAATTCGCAAATTGTGGCAGTACAATAAAGAAGCAGAGTTGTTTTAGAAATCTGAAATCAGCTACTTGACCTTCTGTAGCGATAGCGTCAGATCTTCACACAGACAGGGATTGCAATGGAGTTACAGATCTGATTTGAATGAGCTTGTAATTACATCTATACCAATACTGGAAGTGAGTGAGTGAGTTTAGTTTTATGCCACACTCAGCAATATTCCAGCTATATGGCGGCGGTCTGTAAATAATCGAGTCTGGACCAGACAACAGCATGAGCATTGATCTGCATAATTGGGAACCGATGACATGAATACTGGAAGTAAGCACTGGAGTGTGAAGCTGGGTCTCCCTTTAAGCACCTTGCAGTGGTCACATATTCTACATATGTGTAGTATTATTTTTTGTGTGCAAGAGTACTTTTCTGTACACAAAGCAGCACACCTGGGGTAAATCTGTTACTTCAACACCACTGCAAGTAGAACGAAAATATTACTGCAACAATAAATAACCTCACTCACTGTTGCAGGAGAGTAAGAAGGACAAGGATCTGAAGGACAAGAAGGCTACAAAATCGTCCTCAGCTATCAAGAAAGACAAAGGGAAAGGTAGGTGCTACCCATGGTGATTTAAAATACCTGCCTGCCTGTTGTTCCATGTCTTGCTTGGACTAGTAATAGTTAAATAATTGTCTGGGTTTTTATTCTATTTGGTAATCATGATCTCTGTTTTAGTAATAAAGTTATTAAAAGTGAATTTAAATGTCACGTAATCCATGCAGATAACTGCTTTTGCTCATCGAGTTACCTCCCTTCTACAGATGCAGGGAAAGCAGGGGGCAAGGTCAAAGATGCTGATAAGAAAGATGGTGGCAAGAAGGGCAAGGTCACAGCACCCACACCAACAGCAGAGGAGGGAGAGGATGTGCCCCCTCCTCCCCTAGAGGTGCATGTGTCTGTGAAGCTGCATCACTGGAAGACGGCTATGGACTCACTGAAGGAAGAGGAGGATCAGAGAGACAAGGAACAGGACTAGACCAACATGGCCGACACATCCAGGCACATTTTGTACAACTTCACCTTGTCCATTTTCTTTTGTAACTGAAGATGGGGAAAGTATGGCCATTATTTTTTGACAAATTAAAGATTTATTTGCCATGTCCTTTTGTAAAACCCACTTTGAGTTTGAAAGCTTCGGGACACTTTGTAACAAGTGATAATGTTTAATGCAAAAGATGTCTTAAAGCGTGTCTTTGTGTATGATAATTGTATAAATATTAATATGTACAGAGTTTATCAATGCGCTACCTATGACTGTCAGCATCCTGTTTCATGAAGATGATGAAATATGTCAGATAATATTCACTTAGCATATTATGATAATCACTTTTGTGTACAGTGGAAAGATAAACAAATCTCTATTCAAATGAAAGTGGTATATTTTTACAGATACCTGTAACATAATATTATTTTGAGAAAGTGTCTTGTAAATATCTGTGTACATAAAGTTGATCATGTATAGATCTTCACATGCATGTGAAAATGCTGTGGTAGTGAATGTTATGAACTGAACAATACATCATGTATATTTGACAAAGTGACGAACCTGTGATAACAATGTCAACAGTAATCTGAAATATGTTCAGAAGACATTGGTCAGTTGTGTCATATTATTTTGTATGTATTTATGGAAATATTTTAGGACAAGTATCTGTTAAATTCAGTAACTTTCTTTCTATACAGATGGCAACCAACAGTTTTTCCACAGGGATTATCAGTTGGTTCTTGTTTGGAAAGTATGAAATGTTGTCATGAGCTTTGGGAAGTTTTTGTTAAGATTAGGTGGATTAGCTTAAATCATCTCATTGTTAATACCATTATGACCAATTTGAAAACAAAAAATGCTTTAAAAAGTAAATGCCAAAATATCAAAACTGTTTTCCTGTGTTTATTGTAAGTAATGTCTTTTGAATGTGTACACTTACAGAAAGACTTTATGACAACTAAGGTGTGATGTCTTGATTTGATGAATATGAAGATATTACGAATAAAACATGCAATAACCTATTCCAGGTTTTATGGTTGAAGTATATTGTTCATTTAGGATCAGGGCATTTACCTATGGGAAAGGCTGATGCTAGCATTGCAGACAGATTCTATCAACAATGAGTGAGTGAGTTTAGTTTTATGCCACTTTTAGCAAAATTTCAGCGATTTCACAGGAGGGACATCAGAAATGGGCTTACACATTATACCCATGTGGGGAATTGAACCCAGGTTTTCGGCTAGACGAGAGAACCCCTTAACATCTTGGCGACACCACCACCCCTAACACTGTTCCCACGTGTCTCTACACTGTATCAGAGCCCTGTGAGCATCTGAGCTGATCCCAGAAACCTATGCTGGGAGTATGGAGACAAACATTCTTGAGTAAAATGCAACATGTTTAAAGGACACTGTAATATTGCTGGCATTGATAATTCACACTTTTGAGTTTACGATCTTATATATATCTTATATAAGAGGTAACCGATGGGATCAGGCTAGCTATGCTCGAAACGTTCGTAGCCCTACAAACTTCTTAAGCCCATTCTTAACACATTGGCTACGATCAAAGTTAAGAATTCTTAGGGCTACGAACGTTTCGAGAATAAGGGCCCAGGTGCTCAGGTTTAGTGACTTGGTTGATGCATGTCATCAAATCCCAATTAAGTATAAAGATGCTCATGATGTCAATCACTGGATGGTATGATCCAGATAATTACTATTGGTTATTTACCAACCACAGTGGTACAGTTAGAACATTGATGACTGCAGTGTTACACAACAGAGAAAGTTACAACAATGCAAATCCATCTGAGGTGTTGAATAATACTTTATTATTTGGGAACAATGTACAATGTGGTGATATGAACAATATTGACAGTGATCGCACTGTCACAATAATTGTTATACTTTACAGTTGGCAAGGATCTGAACTTTATCAAGGTTTGGCATAATAAATACAAAATATATGCTGAACTGCTATGTATCAATAGTAGATAAAATCACAGCTTTAAGTCAAAACAAAAGGTTCGTGAACACTACAGCACTACACATCACTGCCTCATTCTGAAGCTGAGTTGCCACAAAATAAACAAATCGAAGCAAATTTCAGTACAAAAAGGATATGATATTGGCACAAGTTCATGATGCAAAATGGACAAGATATTGAAACACGTTCACATTGCAAAATGGAAACACGTTCACATTGCAAAATGGACAAGATGCTGACACAAGTTCACATTACAAAATGGACAAGATGCTGACACAAGTTCACATTACAAAATGGACAAGATTTTGAAACACGTTCACATTGCAAAATGGACAAGATGCTGACACAAGTTCACATTGCAAAATTGACATGATATTGACACAAGTTCACATTGCAAAATGGACAAGATTTTGAAACACGTTCACATTGCAAAATGGACATGATATTGACACAAGTTCACATTGCAAAATGGACAAGATGCTGACACAAGTTCACATTGCAAAATGGACAAGATTTTGAAACACGTTCACATTGCAAAATGGACAAGATTTTTAAACACGTTCACATTGCAAAACGGACAAGATGCTGACACAAGTTCACATTACAAAATGGACATGATATTGACACAAGTTCACATTGCAAAATGGACAAGATATTGAAACACGTTCACATTGCAAATGGACATGATATTGAGGCCTTACATTTTTTTGCTTGGTGAAGCATCCTAGCCGTACAAAATGAGAAACACAAAAATAAGAATGACAGACAATTCATTAATTCCAGCAACAGTAGACACTTCTTAGATGATAAATGATAATCCAAGGGATTTCTTATGACAAAATCATACATATTTCCAATGATGAATAATGGTTTTGAACCATTCAATCTCCAAGTGAAACTTTAAGACGAAATACTCAAGCCCCACCCATAAAACACTCTCTCCTTGCCTAACTAAATTCTCTCTGCAAAAAGGATTTGATATTGTTAGCAGTTTAATAAAAGTTCACTCACATTGATGCTGACAAAATCCTTTGGTATTTGACTATGAACTACTGTTAGAACATGTTTCAATCCTGATCAGTCTTTTAAATCTAATTGTGTACCAAAATAATGTTAACATTTATAGCATTTACACACACACATCCATTGTGAACCAGCACCCATTTGTGACTCAAGGCATTGTTGAAACCATCTGTCTAGTATTGACCACTGACACTAAAACCACACAGTCTACTGCACTAAACAACAGCTGATATCATTACATACACAATGCACTAGCTAAGGGACCAACCACTTGACATCCTTGTAAGGCAGACAAAACATATTTTCAGCTAAAAATGTAAACCAGATAAAGTTTAATTAAAAACATGAACTTAGATATTTTCCCCAACAATAAATACTGTGTAAAGTTGGACAATGCTTCTACAAATTTGCAGTCCTAGCAAGTTTGTCTCGGCTACTCGCATTTCAATTGTCTGTGATAAGACTTTGTGATGTATATCAATGCGACAATTAATTCTTGCCCTAATTATGGTGTAAGTTTCACAAGGCACAAATTACAACATCAACTAATCTGAAAAATGAGAACCATGTCACTGACCGGAATCGATCTTTATTAACAAAGTAATACTGATCAACAAAACCATCAATAAACATCATGACACATGACAATGGGATTGAATATTAATGCCCTAAATTAAATAACCTGCCATAGTTCAATTCCGAATTCGGTCGCTGCAGCAAATATGAAACCATTTATGATTGGTTCCTACAGATTTCTAACATATTGTAAACATCGTTAGTATCAATATTGGAGTGAGTGAGTGAGTATGGTTTTACGCCGCTTTTTAGCAATATTCCAGCAATATCACAGCGGAGGACACCAGAAATGGGCTTCACATATTGTACCCATGTGGGGGAATAGAACCCTGGTCTTCGTTGTGACGAGCAGACGCTTTAACCACTAGGCTACCCCACCGCCTCTATCAATATTGGAAGTTTGATATAGTGTTGGGAAGTCTTGTTTATGAGAGTGACTCATACACTATTCATGTTGTTACTTCCTATTAACTCATGGTTCAACAATTTTACCCAAAGTGCCAGTTCTACCTTAAACTACAGCTACGTCCCGTCAGTTATTAACCCATAGGAATAACTGCCCAATACAGGCTGAGCTGACTGAGGACTTGTTTGATATTACTTTCAGTATACTTGACTCTTTATGTTAGATGAGCAAAGATTGCCAGATTTATTCAGACTTGTGCTTCAGAGTAGTTGTTTAAAGTCACAGACATTGTTTTATCTCCCTGCATGTATTGCTACCTATGGTAACATTTCAAGACACAGCTTGTGGCTGTAACATTGCTAATGTGCCTTCAAATACAATCAGTATTGCCCTATAGCATTCACACAGCTAACACTACATCCTCTTGTTCCTGTGAATACCATGGCTAGAGCGAGTCTCCAGCAAACCATGTGACAGGTGACTTAGAGGATTGGACAGCCAAGCATGCTGACTTTGTTGTGCTATGTCTTTATATCCCAGTCGTTTAGATCCATGCTCATGATTTCAATCACTGGATTGGTGGGTCCACACTCCAATATTTAAAGATCATCAATAGAAGGAATACTGTTGATAGCAGTGTCAAAAAACAAACTCAGGTGTTAAATAGATATGAATTTGACATATACCAGTAAATGTGTACTGTGTATCACCGTAGATAAGCCAATTACATTGTTTAACACAGACTTCCAACGCAGCCAGTGGTGGGACTTACCAGATTTTCCCCAATACCCCAAGTTAAATAAGGTGCACAAAAACTGTCAAAGATGATATTTTCACATATGTACTGACTGAAACGGTATGGTTGTGAATATTGTTCCAATGCTATGACCATAACACAACAACAAATCTATGATTGTCTGTTCTAATAAAAAATTTAAAATCTAAAATAACAACACTGATGTACGATCCTCAATGTTTAAGTGAACTGCTAATGCAGATGAAATACCACAACAAACCACAGTCTCTCCATGTTCCAGTATACAGTAACAAGATAGCACTTAGAACTGACCAGTATAATGCTCCGGCTGGCACAGACAATTTTTCCACAATTAAAAAGTATTCTTGACACAGGAGACCTGAGCAGACACCACATTTGTGGATGTGACAAGAACTTAAAACCTGTGAATGACAAAAACCTGATATGTTTTATAAACCACTTAACTACCACCATAAGTGTATTCTCAGTTTAGTACCCGAAGGTCACATTAAAGAGAAATTCACCGAGTGCACAAATATTAATTTAGATTTGCCTGTAATATTTAGACAGGAAGAGCTTAGTGAGCATAAACCCTCAGAAAGAATCAGAAAAGAAAACACCACAGTCATAAACACTGTTTTCATACATTTCAAGTTTTCTCAAAACTTAAGACACACTCTAGTTTTATAAGAGGTTGTGTTACTATGGATATTATCCCATCATAAACTAAGAACAGTTTAGGTAACCTAACGCTCTTTACTTCAAATCAGACTCTTATATATCTTATGTTAATGTGACAGCCAGAATGTTTGCTAGTGACATGATATTTTTTCTCTTAAAGTTGGATGTCACACAACATTCTGCTTTGAAGGGAGAAGCTACAATCAAGGCAAACACATTTCTTCTATTAATTTCTGAAATAAATTCAAAATATTTCAGCCCCCATCCATCCGCACACTCTCATACACTTATACACAAACAGGGATCAGTCGTACCATTACAATACAATACAGCAGTTGTCAATGATTTAAGCAATATGACCATTCCTGCAAGCTTTCTCCCATGTCGAATATCTGAACGGTTTCTAGCTTCCTACCACAGATAAATGGGCTATTTCCTGGTGAAACACAAATAAGAATGAAGACCCTGTTTTCACGATGATCAAAGCAATACCCAGTAATTCCATACCCAATTATTCCCAAACTAACTTACTGATATGAGACAGTATGCTGCCTTTCTCTAGGCCAATGATAAATGGTAGCCCTATACATAGCCATTAGGTGGGAGCTAGATCTATGATACATGGTGGTGATCCCTGGGACTGTTGCTGTCTCCTCTATATATCACAGTGGTCCATAGTTGGGTCAGGACATGATCCATGGCAATCGGAAGAACTTCCAGACCGCCTTTGTCTATCACAGTGGTCCCATGCCGGATGTCATCAGAGCGTTCTCCTGCAAGTAACAATATCAGTGAGTGAGTGAGTGAGTGAGTGAGTGAGAGTGAGTGAGTGAGAGTGAGTGAGTGAGAGAGTGAGTGAGTGAGTGAGTGAGTGAGTGAGTGAGTGAGTGAGTGAGTGAGTGAGTGAGTGAGTGAGTGAGTGAGAGATGAGTGAGTGAGTGAGATGGGGGCATGAGTGGCTGAGTGATTGAAAGGCTGGGTGAGTGGCTGGGTGATTGAGTGGACGGATGATTGAGTGGCTGGGTGATTGAGAGGCTGGGTGATTGGGTGTCTGGGTGATTGAGAGGCTGGGTGATTGGGTGTCTGGGTGATTGAGAGGCTGGGTGATTGAGTGAGTGCATGAGCGAGTATTCTTTAATGCTACACATGGCAATATTCCAGCTCTACTATGGCATCAAGTAAATAATCATGTGATAATTAAGTGATTTATATCAATGTTTGTAACTGAGATAAATAATCATTGTCACTTCTATACCTCCTAGCAAGCAAGTGAGTGAGTGAACTGGGTTTAAATCCTCTTTGAACAGCACACTAGTTTCATCCCTGTTTTATGTTTGAGGTAATACCAAGCGAAGAAGGTCTTGGACTTTTATTACTTTGTGATACCCACATCCACAAATACAGGGCTCATACTCAATGTACCACAAGCAGATAAAGCAGATTACCATGAGATCATAAAATCTTTTTGTGAGTAGATCCTCGAAGAACTCCAGTTCCTTCTTGTACACGGCTCCCTTGATGCCCTGCTTGCGGTACTTAGGCTCCAGAGCCTCAATGACGATGCTGTTCAGGTGACGGCCCACCTTCAGCTGCTGCGCTTCACGGTAGGCAGTGATGTCACCCACCTTCTCCAACAGGTTCTCGTAAACCTGGAGACACAAAGTTATCTTTCCACTGTTGGATTCATATGAGATTCTCACCTCATGTAATCGTACCCAGACACCATGTATTACTTTTCATAATATCAATCACTGGTTTGTCTTATTATCAATCTCAACTCCTTGGGAATCATACAACTGTCACAGCCACTAGGCACACCAAGTTATTGTGGCTTTCCCATGCTTACGAGGATTCACAGCTGGGTGGACTGGGACACAGTCACAATACTGATTCCACAATACTGCACGTTGCTGTACCCGCAGAATAACGCAAATGTAGATGCAAAACATGCAAGTAAATCTAAGACAATAGTAAAATATTTACAGACTGTGTCATTCTGTTGGAATACTGTTGAATAATACCTTTAACAGCAAACCAAGAAACAACTATATCCTCATTATGTGTTTTCTGTATAATATCCCCACTCAGCTATAATCAGGACTAGACACAATATCAACAGTGAGTAGACTAGCTGGTCTATTTAGTCATTTCTAAGTTCAGTACACGTTTCTGGAGGCCTTTCTTATTCACAATAAAAGGCATTTTATTTCAGATTTTGAATCTCTGAGGTCAACTTACTGGCATCTCTGGAATTTCTTTAAATTCATAGTGTCCATCCCAAATTGTGACCTTGAGACTACCAGTTTCCTGCAAATGGAGGACAAATTTACTAACACAGTTTTGTAAGATGAGAAAGTGAATAGGCTGAGTTTAACGTTGCCTTGAACAGTATTTCAGGTATATGATGGCGTGTTAGTTGGCTGGGGGATGAAATCCTGTGGAGATGCATGTGTAAGATGTTTACCACTTTGGTGAAACACACAGAAATTGACACACCTAGAATCATATTCTGGGGCAGCTTGGATTCGAATCCACGGTCATAGCAGTCCCTAATTTGTTATCAAATGTGTGACAAAACAATGTCATACAAAACTGGATATCATTTCAATAACAAGTTCATCACAGAAATAGAACACAGTGTTTGTCTGAAGTATGTATATGCTGCATAGCTTATGGATAGACACTTGGGGATACAAGTTTTTAAAGGTTTTTATATTAATTTCAGGAATAAGTTCTTTCACCTTGAAGACAGGTGACCCTCATTATGACATACAAACACATGGTAGCAGTGATTCTGATAACTAACAACCAGATCTGTGACACCAAAGACAAAGTTTTGCTAATGAATTTTCCAGAAAATGATACCAGTGATTCTGACAATACACCACTGTCTAAATGAAATATGAGACAAGAGTCAAATTTGAAACAAGTGTCTTCTAATGAATTTACAATGCCCGCTACCTATGGCGAACTTGACATAAGTAATTGTTATCAATTATACCACAAATGATCTCACATAGGCGTTGCTGGAATCCCAGCGTTGTCCTTCCAGCATGGTCTGTGCAGAGGATGTAGACAGTTGGTCCAGAACCTCCTCTGTCGGCTTCCTCTTCAGTATCGAACACGGTGGGTGCCGTTCAGCACAGAGTTCCTGAAAACATGATTCAAATACTCATATGTTGATTCTCTTGACATAGGAACCGTGAAGCTCCGGGTTAGAATTGGTCTTCAGTGACCCATGCTTGTCGTAAGAAGCAACTAACGGGATCGGGTGGTCAGGCTCACTGACTTAGTTGACACATGTCATCGTATCCCAATTACGTAGATTGATGCTCATGCTGTTGATCACTGGATTGTCTGGTCCATGCTTGATTATTTACAGACTGCTGCCATATAGCTGGAATATTGCTGAGTGCGGCGTAAAATTAAACTTGACATAGACATATTGTGGTGGTACATACAGAGAGGTTAACATGAAATTCACAGACTTATACAGTTATACAGAGGTGTCAAGTAGTAACCAATATTCTTGAATTCTAAAATGCTTGAATTCTACCCCAAATCAACACCAAACATCAAAGGTTCCTCTGAAGCAAAATAACCTGAAACATTTTCACTTTTAAATATTTGAACAAAGTAATCAAAACGCTGTATTGTAGACCATGGTTACCATTGGTTACCATGACATCACCAGTCACTACCGCTAGTTAGCACTACTAGCTATACTCAAGCTAAGGAAAGCTGCAATAACTTGGTGCGCATAGTGGCTGCAAGAGTTGTATGATCCCCAGGGAGTTGAGATTGACAATAAGGTGTGCGGTTGAGATTGACATCCAATGATTGAGGGAAAAAAATACCAGCGCCTGAGCATGCACTAGTGTGTGGATATGTGCACTATATAAATATCCAATAATAATAAATAATAATAATAAAGACAATAGTTATGACTGTTCAGAAACTGCAAAATGGAGAACATCTTGATACATAAACAGAATCTCACTTTTGAGTCTTTTGGTATCAAATATAGCAACAATAGTTGTTAAGAAGTCCTCAATCAGCTTCAGAGTTTTCAACTTCTATATACTCATTATGTGAGACTGTTTATATTACTACAACAAAGTAACTGACCCATCAAACAGTGGCACTACTGCCCATCCTAGTAGACTCTCCTCATCCAAATCCAGCTCTCCTCCTTCTGGGGTCAGGAGTTGGCCTGGGGCCTTGTGGTCTGGCTTCATCTGGTACATCATCTTCAGGCCAAACACCTGCACTATCAGACAACTGTACTGGTCATAGAACGGGTGCAGCTCCTGGTGGATGAACAACCAGGATAAGAACTCATTTGGGAGCAGTGCAAGTTCAGTCGGCAATGTTGTGTATGAGCTTCATAATTGTGATCAGAAAATAATTGACACTGGATCAGACAAAACTTGCCACTAGAGACATAATGAACAATGATTAACTACATTAGGGAGCCATGACAAGCCATCAACAAGTCGCGGTTTATGACAACTTGATCTAAATCAGATTGTTAGTTGTTTACACCACACTCAGCAATACCTCAGCTACATGATGGCAGCCAGTAAATTATCGCATCTGGGTGAAACAATTCAGTAAGATATGGTGTGATAACATGCAAATCACCAAACCATTCAACCTGACTGCCCTCACAAATTAAATTGCGTTTTAGGCTGGGAAGCATCCTAAGGGGTTCATGTCAATGCCTTCTTACTACAAACAATCTGCTTGAGTACTATTCCAACTCAGGTGCCCATCATTAATGTGATTTATTGTCAAACTGAACACATTGGATGACTCCACACAGTGTACCCACATGATGATTCCAAACCTAGGGGGCGGTGGGGTAGCATAGTGGTTAAAGCGTTCGTTCGTCACGCCGAAGACCCGGGTTCGATTCCCCACATGTGTACAATATGTGAAGCCCATTTCTGGTGTCCCCCGCCATGATATAGCTGGAATATTGCTAAAAGCGGCGTAAAACTAAACTCACTCACTCCAAACCCAGCCTCTGACACAATGACTGAAAGGTTAGACCACTAGGCTCTCCACCACTCTCTTACCTGTGGGTCATCAGCCCATGCCGGGGCCTGGAGAAAACTCTCAGGGATATGTTTCTTGGTGATAAACTTCTCTTCCTTGCCGTACCCCTCCTTGGTGGCACTCATCCCCTGCACCTTGCGCCCGGGGGTCACTCGTACAAAGCACTGTATGACTCTGTCATCTGTGTCAGGACAGAAACATTGACAGCAGCATCAGTAACAGCTGATGACAGCACAGTCATCACACCACATCATCACTACTGTGATACTGTGACAGACAAACATACATGGTTGTGGATTTTAATGACACAGAAAACAGAGAAGGGTCCTTATTACTCCCTTTTTTCCAGTATTACTCCTAAGAGGTTTCATTCTCTTTTTCCAGAACTGAGGTCCAAGGTCCATAGTCTATGTCATCTACAACCTTGCATACTTGCTGTGTCAGACTACCTATACTGAACTAAGCATTTTGGGTTGAGAGCATTTCTTTCTTAACCCTGATGCATTTTGGGTTGAGGACATTTCTTTCTTTCACACCCTCACAATCACTAGAGATATCAGGATTTTTACTCTAAACAACTACCCTGAAAGGCTGAAATTGTTTTTGGATGAGGCCTCTAATCTACTTGGTGTTACCCTGGCCCTGAACTGGGCCTGTGTCCCCTCCACCCTGATGAGAAAACTGAAAATCTAACTCCATCAAACATTGTTTCAGTTGGTGCCTATGCTTTCATGCTTAATTTTAAACACTGCGGATCTCTGGAATGAATAGTAGCTGATAACAAGATCCTCATTCACACAACTGACCTGGCATGCCGTATGCCTGGTTCATCTTGACGTACAGCCCCATTTTGGTTCTGTAGCGTACACATCTGGACAGACTGAGGTTGGTGGCTGGTTGGGCAGCTGGCGTCTGCTTCTTCATATCCAGGCGATCCTTCAACCAGCTCAGCAGGCTCACATCGCTCCGACCTGGGGCAAGAACCAAAGTATTTCTATAACCTCTTGTGACATCAGCCTATTGTGTTTATGGGCTTTCCGTTTGTAGAATAAATTATTAAGAAGGGACTTTCTACAGAATTACAGTCATTTATTTTACATTTGAACACAATCAATAAAACACACATTAAAATGCCAAGTTAAGGAATTATGCAGAATGAAGTAGAATCAAAAGACAAATGTTATTTATATTTCAGTGAGACTGTAACATAGAACGGAAGTGTGCTGGAAACACAAGCTTCTAGTCTCCCACCACAAAGACACTTGTAGAAGTTCTAAGCTTTAAGTGTCCAACCTTCAGTAATTCCCTCCATGGTTTGCAGTCTCTTCACCATATCCCTCTCTGTTTTTGGATACTTCATGTTGTCCTCGTAGCTCTGGAAGATGCGTGTCTCAGACACATTGGGGTGACAATCAATAGACCTGTAGTATCCTACAGTGTACTTGGGGGCCTCCACTGGCTCCTGAAAGATATCAAAGAGAGTCTGAGGTTCATGCTGCTTAAACCATATCATGGCAGGGAACACCACGTGCTGCATGTCATGTACATTCAGTGGAGTGAGGGAGTGAGTTTAGTTTTACGCCGCACTCAGCAAATATTACAGCTATATGGCAGCGGTCTGTAAGTAATCTAGTCTGGACCAGACAATCCAGTGATCAACACCATGAGCATTGATGGTACATTTAGTGTTGCTTTGGGTAGGTGATTGTTAACCTTCTAAAATATCTCAGGCAGCTTAGGTAGTTTGCTCCCAAGAGAGATGAGAATGTAGATCAAGTGCACACTCATCCACAGACCATGGTAATTATGTAGCACATTTAGCATGCTTTAGCTTGTGGCTTTGATGTCTTATTATATATGCATAGTTATCATCTTTATTACTGTTGTTGTTATTGTAGTAGTGAGTGAGTGAGTGAGTTTAGTTTTACGCTGCACTCAGCAATATTCCAGCCATATGGCGGCGGTCTGTAAATAATCCAGGGATCAACAGCATGAACGTCGATCTACGCAATTGGGATCTGATAACACTGACTGACTGAGTTTGGTTTTACGCCGCTTTTAGCAATATTCCAGCAACATCACGGCGGGGGACACCAGAAATGGGCTTCACACATTTTACCCATGTAGGGATTCGAACCCGGGTCTTCGGCGTGACGAGCCAACGCTTTAACGGATCTGATAACAAGTGTAAACCAGTCAGTGAGCCTGACCACCCGATCCCGTTAGTTGCCTCTTACGACAAGCATGGGTAATTGAAGATCAATTCTAACCCAGACCTTCACGGGTTGTTATTGTAGAAGATGTTCACAATCTTATCATCATTATGAAAAGTTATTGTACTGTACTTTAATGAGAAAGATAAAAACAAATTTTTCTAAAAGACTCTGTGTATTGACAGATACATAAGTGACTGAGTGACAGCAAGTATGACCTACCGGACTATGCGGCCTCAGCCTGACAAGTAGAGAGCAGCCTGGAACTATGGGGGCGGAGTCCAGGCTGGCTGGGGTCAGGGTGTTCACCCCGTTCTTGGTGTCAGGCATTCCAGACCTCAGTCTCAGCTGATGTCCCCCGATTCGCAATTTACCCTGAAAATACATCCGTGGCGTGATGTGATACCCATCATGATTTGTTTGTTGCTTAACACCACACATAGCAATATTCCAGCTATATGGCGGCAGTCTGTAAATAATCAAATCCAGTGATCAACAGCAACCCTTCATTTAATGCACAAACAAATATTTATGAATGATTTGATGTCTATAGGTATCGAAATTGTAACACAATACAATCTGTGTTAAATTTGAAACCATAATTATTCAAAGCTCCTGTATATTGAGGCAACTTTTGTTTCAAACTTATTAAAAAGAACCGGTCAGTGGAGGATGCCTGGAATGGGCTTCACATATAGTGCCGACGTGGGGAATAGAACGCAGGCCTTTGACGAATGGATGCTTTAACCACTTAGCTACCCCACTACCCTCCAGCAATCAGGATATGACATGTAATCACTAGTGGTTGTCCGACTAATTGAAATAATCAAAGATTGGTCGCAGTGACTAAACGACCAAGCAATCGATCATGTTTTCTCATAATCGAACATAAACAATTCAGGAATACTTGTTTTCATTAACAGTATTTTTTACAAGGTTGGTAATGTCTGTTACATTTCATAAGCACTACAAGCTCATTCCAGTTCATGATTGAATTTATCTTAAAGACTCCAAGAAATTTATGTTCCTAACATACTAGTCATCCTTTAAAGATGTGAAGTTTTGCCCCCCAAAACCCCAAAGAACTACATGTTTTTTTCCTTATTTGTTTGTGCATTAGCAAATTTCATAAATGACGCTAACCAATTAATTTCGATGATTTTCGACTGGTTGTAGAACCAATCATCAATTATGAGATTTTAACCAATTCCCAACACTAGTAATCACCAATCACTGAACAGGACAATCCAATCCAGTAAATCAGCTGAAATGACCAGAAAACCAGGAATATCAACTGATCTCCTACCTTGTTCATCCCAACAACATTGAAGGCTCCCAGGAGGCAGCTGCCCACGACAACGATTCTCTCCGTCACGATGTCGACAGTGTACACCCTTAGAAGGACGAGCATGTTAGGGTCAGCCGTCTTGCTGTCTGGGTTGACTGTCAGTCGGTACCCGAACAGTGGTGACCTTGCAGGACTCTCAAGGTCAGGTATGGCCAAGATGTCCGACATGTCGTTCAGCTCACCGGTTCGTAGAACTCTTCCTGTCACCTAAGAATGTTTAATGAAGGCTTCATTCACAAGTACTCAAGAAAATAAGTACAGAAAGTTCAAAGAGGGTCCTCAGATTTATTCATTTAGATAAACTAACAAATTTGTTCAACCATTTTGGTTCTTTCTAAAGGGAGGTCAAAACATTGCACTGTGGTTTCAAACATGATGTTATCCATAACACAATTTAATGCCATAGCAACAAGTCAGACTAATACACCAGAGCTCAAGATAAGATTTAGCTCATGTGGGTACTGTACCCACTGTATTTTTTTTTGGAGTGGGTATTATGAATGTTGAGAGGGTATTTCATTTTCCGTTACCCACTGCTTTCAAATATGTGCATATTTCAGTCATTTTACTCACCTAAGTATTATGTCATTGAGTAAGTTTACTAAGCAAATATGTTCTGCCATATGTCATACCTAATCAAAACCAGCTTAAATATAATGGAAATGATTTCATAAAAAATCACTCATCCTACACTGACAGTACAACACTTGTCCTATACTAACAGTACAACTTGATAGCAATCGATGTCTTTTTCATTACGCAAGCGATTTTTATAAATATATTCTGTACGCATTTGTTTTTTTGCGTATCTAACATTTAAAATGCGTAATTGGTACGCAACAATTATTTTTCAATGCGTAATTGGAAATTTTATATGCGTATTTTACCCGGATAACGCAGCTTATCTGGGCCTCTCAATACACTCTCAATCAAGCTTTGTTAACATTTCTTACTGAACTACCATTAGTAAATGGAACACTCCAACTATCCATGACTAATATCATGACTGTTGTCAATAAATGTTGCACTTCCCCTAGCAACGACTTACTTTCATGAAAAATGTGACCAATGAAATTATTGTATATGCTATCAAGTTTTGTCTTCTTCCTGAAATATAACTAGAATCTTGTGGCTGACGAGTGTCTACAATTCACAGTTTTGTTTTTTCCCATGAATCATCCATATATACCTATGGTAAAGCAATGGTCTGATTCCAGTGAGAGGGAAGCCAGTGGGTGCTCAGACCAATCTGTGTTCACAATATACATGTAACCAAAAACACCAATATTTCATGTCCCACAGTTTTGCAGCAAACTACTGCCACAAATTCATCAAAGATGTTTTAATTTAACACAGACTAGTTTTACAAGGTCTCATCTCACTGTTTGACATAAAATAGACACATGTTACAGGAAGACTGTATTTGAATTGAATATTGGGTAAACTATGTTTATAACAAACAGGCTCATAATGATGAATATAACAAACTGTTTTAATCCTTGTCTCTTGCTATATATTTTAGTTGAAGTGAGTGAGTGAGTTGAGTTTTACGCCACACTCAGCAATATTCCAGCTATATGGCTGCGGTCTGTAAATAATCGAGTCTGGACCAGACAATCCAGCATGAACATTGATCTGCGCAATTGGGAACCGATGACATGTGTCAACCAAGCCAGCGAGACTGACCACCCGATCCCGTTAGTCGCCTCTTACGACAAGCATGGGTTACTGAAGGCACATTCTAACCCGGACCTTCACGGGTTATTTTAGTTGAAATGCACATAACGAACTATGGTTATAACAAACTAAAATTAGAGCTAATTTTGGGTTCATTATAATCCATAGTTTACGGTATCAACAGGTGAAGTGATTACTGACTGACTGACTGAGTTTGGTTTTACGGCGCTTTTAGCAATATTCCAGCAACATCACGGCGGGGAACACCAGAAATGGGCTTCACACATTGTACCCATGTGGGGATTCGAACCCGGGTCTTCGGCGTGACAAGCCAACGCTTTAACCATTAGGCTACCCACCGCCCCATCAACAGGTGAAGTAATTAGGAGAACTAGGTGTAATGAAACCATTGAGGCATCGATAACGTTCAATACTTGCCTTTACAATTGAAGCATTATCCGGAATGAATCGCACGCCATCTACATAGAGGTCAAATGGTTTTGTGTTGTCATTTGGCGTAGGGGTTGGATCTGTTTTGGCAGCTTTAGGCTGGTGTTCCACCCAGGGTTCAAAGTCCTCCTCCAGGTCAGTTGGGGTGGGGGGAACGTCTGGCTCTGGCTCGGGTGAGGTCTCAGTGATCGGCGGTGAGGGTGACCTGGGGTCCAGGACGACTGGTGGTGGGGTTGGTTTCTTTGGCGTCTGCCTGCATTAAAGTAAACAGAACCTTGGGAACCAACAACCAACTGATCTGAGAAAAATATTCTTGAACTACATTATGGATAAATCTCGATAATCTGTTTATCTACTTAAAGAATCAACAGTTAAACACTGCACTCAGCAATATTTCAGCTGCATGACAACAAGCTGTTACTAATGCTACAATGAGTGAGTGAAAGATTGAGTGAGTGAGTGAGTGAGTGAGTGAGTGAGTGAGTGGTTTTATGTTGCTTGTAGCAATATTCCAGCAATATCGCGGACACCAGAAATGGGCTTCACACATTGTACCCATAATGCTACATTGACCACTCTCCCAGTACAATGTCACATTATCCAACCAAATTACCTCACCTCTGACTCATCTGGTCACCTCTTGAAATCCAGATATATCTAACCTGGAATCCTTGAGTGTATGCATTGCTACACATTAACAGGAAGACACATCAGTGTATTGGGTAACTGTATCCTTACATCAACATTGTTACAAGATACACAACATATACAGAACCTAAATTCGTGGATAGTCTTGATTCGTGGATCGCGGATATTATTGTGCTAGCTCGTAAATTAAGTCTCGACTGAAGTCACAAAGCAGTATTTTTTATGTACATACAATGCCACGCCTAGCTGACAAAAAAGTTCTGAATCTCTGCATTACACGCAAGTACACTAGTAATAATTGTCCAGCATTGAGATAAATATTAATAGCCCCAGATCACTAATACCACCATTACCAATTTTTACAAAATTTCAAGTAAAAAAGATACCGTTAGCTCCAACCCTTCGCACTTCTCGTTGTCTGCTTTCCTTGGTGTCAATGCTCACTGCGTACATAGTGGTATAAAGTAACCGACTACGTAATCCACGAAACAAGGTGACGTCACATTTTGTGGGCACACGAATGGGTGATGATTGCAAATGGCTTCCGTAAACAAACGGTTCATTCACGAGTGGAATATTATGCATTTTCAATTTAAATCAATGAATCAATGAATAAAATAATCAGTGCGTATACAAAATGAAATCATGCATTTAAAATATGAATTTTGCCGCACTTCCCTTATATCCACGAATCAAGGTTACGCGAGTGTACACCATGTGTACATTCCAAGCAAGGACAATGTGTGTGCTGTTACCTGGGCGGTTGTTGCCTGGGGGGGATGCGTGGGGTGAGGTTGGGGGTGTGGCGCGGTATGTGACGTGGGGTCGGTCTTGTGTCGACTGGGGGAACCTGGGGGAGGGGCCTGGGGGTGTCAGGAGGCTCATTACGAGGATCATACACCACGGCAGACAGTTCACAGCCATAGCCAATCAGGTGACCTGAAAATAGAGGAAAACATATTACCAGTACATGTTATCATTATGATCATTGGACGACGGAACTTTGTCATTGTATCTATAATGATCCCTCTCTCATAAACAATGGAACCTTGTTGTCTCAAATGCAGTTGAGGTGAACTAAAAATATAGGTCCTGACAAAAATCTTAGTGAAACCTCATAATTTGTTCTGTTTTGTTTTGTTTGTAGTTTAATTCCACACTTGCTAATTTTCCAGTGGTCTGTAAATAATTGAGTCTGGATCAGACAATCCACTGATCAACATCATGAGCATCGATCTATGCAATAAGGACGATGACATGTGTCAACCAAGTCAGCAAACTTGACCACCTGATCCCATTAGTCACATCTTACGATAAGCATGGGTTGCTGGAGACCATGGAATGAAACATCAAAAGAAGGAACACATACTATGTTTGAGTCTGTAACTAACGTACAGCCACATCTTCAATCAGCAGTGATCAGGGAAATAGTGGTAAATGTTTTCACACCAGAGATAGTCAATACTAATACCCAACATTTAGCTGAAAGCGTGTGAAGAATTAGGATTATTGTTTGTTAATCTGTTGTCCTATACAGTGGAAGCCCTCTAAATTGGCACTCGTTGGGACCGACAAAAATGCAGGTATAGAGGGCGTGCCGTTTTAGAGAACTTTTCCCTTTTCAACCTGAGAATGATCTTGACATTTTGATAGTCATCATATTCGATGCTCACTTTGAACTGTTTGATGTCGTATCGTGTCTTCCAACGTGCCAGTCAACCATCTGATGCCTTAAACTCGTTGACATTTAATTCTGAAGCAAACTGAATAACTTTCTCTTTCAAAATAGGACAAGAAGTGGGCATCTTTTACAGCGGGCAGTCGAAAAACAATCATGCCGGTTTAGAGTGCGTTACTTACTGTACAAAGTCAATTGGGCGGTCTTTGTTGTGCCGAAAATACGGAATAGACTGACGCCGGATTAGAGGGCGTGTAAATGATCATAAATTAACTAGCTTCTGTCGTGACCAAATTCTAGTGCCGATATTGAGAGCATGTCGGATTGGAGGGCTGCCGGTTTAGAGGGCCTCCACTGTATATAGTATTTTCACAGCATTTCCATCATTCAGTCAGAAAGGTGCTATTGTGGGTACAAATAATTACCTTCGCCCCTCTCAGAGGGTGTCTTTGGCATGGACGTGGTGAAAGGTTCCGACGTATCCCCTGGGTGGAGCTTGAAGGTATGATCCCCTGCCAGAAGCACCCATGCCTGGTCAGCTGAGACACGTCCACTCGGAGCTCCCTGGCGGAACAGAGGAATGCGAGCCCAGCCAACAGCCACTGGACTTTTACCTGGAGACACAGAAAGCCAAGGCTTCATATAGACATAGCTCAAGCAAAAGGTCATCACTTCAGATATATTCATACATATTTTAGAGATTAACAAATTACACGATGATTAGGTTGGCTGACACAAGGTGCAGAGTATTATATTCATATTTTTTAAGCCATTTACACTAATTTTTAAAAACCTTTCAAAGATGTAAAGATTTGACATCAGACAAAATTGCGAAAGTGTAATAAACTATTAAAAGATGATAAGGGCCATTTGATACAATAGAGTAAAAGTAAAGTAATATGAAAGAATCGGCTGACCCCTTACTTCTTTTGAATAGTATATTACAAACAGTGAAGGTGTGGAATGAATGGGGTTACAGCAATACTTTAGAAACATATACTGAAAGAAAAGAACAATTGGAATCCTACCCACCGTGCATAACTTCTGGTCTGTGGTATTCCAAACGGACTGTGGCGTAGGGGTTCGCTCCGAGTTCCCGCTCAACGTCATACTGGGACAGGTCAAGGTTCTCAAAGACAAACTTCTCTATGGGCAGCAGTAGTTCGTATACAGCATTGCCGTATGCATCGTTCTGGAAGCTGGTCACCTCAATAGCTCTCAGTGACATTCTTGACCGCAGCTTGACACTTCCGAAATACAGAACGATAAAGAGTCGAAGGTGGTTTGGGTCAACACTAGCCAGCCAGGGCTCCTGAAATATCAAGGGTTGATATTTTCCATATCATATGCTCAAAAGAGTGCCAAAGGGTACTTAATTCAGATATTTGGGTTGTCCTTGGGAAATGAAACGTGCCCAAAAGAATATGTGATCCATCTTACACCACATACAGCAATATTCCAGCTATATGACAGCGGTCTGTAAATAATTGAGTCTGGAACCAGACAATCCAGTGATTGAAATCATGAGCATTCATGTCCTCAACCAGGATACGTTGATGCATATCAGCCAAGTCAGCGAGCCTTACCACCTGATCCTGTTAAAGGAAAACTAAGTTCTATGGATAGTCAACTTCTATATTGACTATCCATAGAAATTAGTTTTCCTTCATCTTCACAACTTCTAAAATGCCTCTCAAAGAACTGATCCCTGTTAGTCAACTATAACAACAAACAGATCGAATCTAATCCAAACCTTCCCCAGTATATTCTGTATGTTTGTTGAATTGATGTAAAAAACTTGCTATTGTGCCTTAAATCTATGACTGCTATCTTGTACAAATACTACCCATCAAAAGTGTAGACTCACTAATGTAAACGTAGCCACTTACTTCAGTCAACTGTTCTAAACTTTTTTGATTTTGCAAAATATTCCATTCAGTTTAAAGGTACTATTTACACATGAACTAATGTATTGTAGAACAAATTTGTAACGTTGAAAAGATTATTGTCATGAGTTCAGTAAATAATGAAAATCAGTGAAAATTGGCGAATTCTTAACCAAACTTTACACCTAAACGCAGCTGTTCGCATGAACAATATTTGCACATGCTTTTTAGCAATTTGAGGCATGATCCTTGTACAATTCATCTGCATAAAGTTTTCAGTTGGTTCCCCAAGTTAAATGTAATTTTCTGAGTAAAATTGATATTTTATACTTATCCTGACTCATGCTCTTTTGCTTGTCCCCTTCCTCTTGCTAACATAGTGGAACACTTGTATCTCCTTAATTGAAGCTCCCTTCAATGTAAAATCACTAATTGGTACTCACCCACGAAGTTACCTCCCCTGCCGTAAGCTGAACAGGTGTCGCCACCCTCTGGCCTCATGCTTCACTCTCTCCTGATTTTGCGAGCCCAACACTTGAATTTACAGGGAAATCCAAAGTGTTATGTGGGGAGGATGGAGGGTAGCACTCATGAGTCAGGATAAGTATAAAATATCAATTTTACTCAGAAAATTACATATTTTTCCTTATCCTGACTCATGCTCTTTTGTTTGTAGAATCCAATCGGAGAGGTGGTGGGTAAACAGAATACTTTGGATTAATTAGTGATTTAAGTAAGTGATATTGTAATAACTTCCATGGAACTTCATAAGGCATTGAGACTTAGGATATTTCCTTATAATAATCCATAGATATATACACTATAAGTGGGGTATTACCTTACTAATATACTGATATATCAATATATATATATAAACTGCTACTCTAACGAGCTGTACACTGAATATAACTCAGTATGAGCTTAAGGTTGAATAACCTAAGCTAAATATGTACATAGCCCTAGAACTCCATGGAGTTATAAGCTAGTGAATATATGTATCATATATCTAATAATCTCGCGGGGTGAATATTAACGCCACGCAGGGACTGTCAATTGCTGAGCGAGGACCAAAGGACCTAAATGATGAATGCCAGAGACGCCCTCGGTGGTGATATCTCTGAGATAGTGATTAGCAAACACCATGTTAGATTTCCAAAAGCATCCTTCCATAATTGTATTCAATGAACAGTTACCATGAAGGGCGAGGGTGGATGCCAATGCCCTGATTTCATGGGGATTTGATGCTGTTGAGGGTCCAGTCCTGCTGCCTTATAGGCCAGAAATGACAGTTCTTATCCATATTGATATGGTGGTACGAGAGACTTCTGTCTGATTTGTAGGCTTATAACGGGATGAACAATCTTCTGAGCGATCTTCGCCTTTGTTTTGGAACCACGAAATAGATTATGAGAGCTCAGACTGGGCATAGAGATAAGTCCAATGTATCTTGAGATCCAAGAATTGAGGATAGCGCAGGGATGTGAAATAACCTGTCTGGTTGACCTGGTAGTTGATTTTTAGCGATGAAATCCCATCTTAATCCCAGGTGCGCTTGTCTTTGATTTTCATCAAACTGTATCCTCTCATAATCTAGAGCATGAATTTCAGATATTCTGGCTGCCGCGGGCTAGCGCATAACAGGAAGACTGTTTTCTGTGAGAGAAATTCAAACGCTGTCGATTCCAATGGTTCGTAATCCTCACTTGTGAGGTGTCGTGAAACTACATTCAGATCCCAAGCTGGGGCGTGGAATTTCCGCTTTGGTCCTCCAATCGAAAGCACGAGTAAGGCCAGTAACTCTGGTGTTCTTGTTAATTTAACACCCGCTCTCATAGAAATCACAGAACTAAGCTGCAAGATATGTTGACAATGTCGAGCCTTTTAAATGTTTGTTTTGCCGTAAGTAACACAAATAGTCTGCCACTTGAGGATGCGTAGCATCTCTCGCTGTAAAACCCTTGTTTGTTGCATAATTTTCAAACTTTGCCACTTGTCATCGCATAAGTTACGCTGCTGAGTATCGAAGGCAAGTTGACCGCTTTTGCCACTCTGGTAGAATATCCTCTTGTTTAAACACATTTTAATACAGTCCATACGCGAAGTTTGAATACTTCTGGGTTTCTGTGCACCTGTTTGGTGTGAGGATGTATTAACAGGTTTGCCGCTTTGGGTAGTTCTAGTGCCGGTTGACCGATATCTTGTATTAAGGCGGAAACCACGCTCTGGCCGGCCAATAGGGCGCACCAAAGTGAGTTGTAGGCTCTGGCGCTTGGTTGATTTTCTGTAATACTAGAGGTATTATTGCTGGGGCGGAAACGCCGCACGCATTGAGGCCTTCCCATGAAATGCTTAGAGCCGCCTGTTGCCCATGCTTGTGGGTCTGGCACTGGTGACATTTAATGTCGGTAGTTGATTGTTGAACCTTGTGGCTTAATAGATCTACTAGCGGGGCCCTATTTGCTTGATTATCTGTGCAAATATCTCTGTATTGAGCATCCATTCTGTCGGCGACGGTAGATGTGGCCGAGAGAGTGCGCCTGCTAGTATATTCCTGGCTCGGAATGTGGCATGCTTTGACATGTAGATTTAGATCTTGGATTAATTCAACAGTTGAAAGGTTAAATTCAAAAGGTTCGGCGATCTCGCTGAGCCTTGTCTGTTCACATAAAACGCCACTGTCGAAGTTGTCGGTATGTATCATCAGTGCGATTCTGTAGAATGTTGCTCCAATGTCTTATGGCGCTGATTACAGCTTTCATCTCTAATGCTTATGTGGAGTTTGCTTTCTAGCTGAGTCCATAACCCTGATGTGTCCGTCCGTTGGAGAGATGAGCTCCCCAACCTTGGAGCCGACGCTGCCTACATATAGATGGGTCTTGAATTCCTGCTCTGCTAAACAAATCCCTTCGAGACATTCGATTTCTTTGTCCACCATAATAGATGAGGTCTGAGATGTATCGGTAGACTGAATGGTTGTAGGTCGCCGAGATGTGTATTGATCGAAGACCTGTAACGGACGAACTGTAATCTGCCTATGACTGTCAAGTCTTGGGCTGATGTTAGAAGACCTAGTAAGCTCTGCCATTGTCGGTGGTAGCGTGACAGTAGAGCTGGTGGAATGATCTGTTGGATCTTGAGCCAACGGTCTTCTGGTACCACTATACGGTTGAGATTGGTGATAAATCGGATTCCTAGGAATTGCAGATCTTGGCGATGGTACTAGGTCCCGACTTGTGTAAGTTTACTAACCATCCCAGCTGTGTTAGTAGCTTTATGATGTAGTTTAACTGTAGTTTGAGATGCTGTGGATCTTGATCTACTTGTATCCCGTCGTCGAGGAAGAACGACACTGCGCGAGCCCTTTGACGATGTAGATAGATAACAATCGGTTTCGCTATCCTCGTGGAATAACCATGGGGCTGATGCTATTCAATGGGAGTACTTTCCACTGGTAATGTAACCCGCCTAGCTGAAACCCAAGGTATTTCCTGGATTCGGGATGTATTGGGATGTGCAGATAAGCATCTTGTAGATCTATACTGCCCATGTAGTCCATGGGGCTTAATCATCTGTCCGAAGGCGTAGATGTATCATAGTGAACCTGGGTGGTTTGTTTAAGTAAGTCTTGTTGAATAAGCTCATGTTGTAAATGAGTCTGTATTTCTCCTTGGAGTTCTTCTTGGGTACTAGGAAAACTGGGGAGTAGAAACCTGGTTCGATGTTTCCTTGCTCTATTACTTCTATGGCCTGCTTGGTTAGGAGTAATGTAACCGCCTCTTAACTTTAGTAGTTGTTGTGCCTCTACCTCGAACTTGTGAGGGTTGACTGTTAGTGGAGGCTTGGCCTGTAGTGGGATATAAAAAACTGCTGAAGAATGTTGGAGACATAGGTGTCTTGAAGTATTCCCCAGTTTTCCCAGTGTAGTTGAAGACGCCCACCCACTTGTGACGGTTGTACTGGAACGGCTGGGGTGGAAGACTCCAGTCGCTCCAACCTGTCTTTCAGCGCTTATAGTTATGGAACCTCTGGGTGTCCTGCCTCGGCCCTGACCCTCCTCTATAGTTGCCATATGGGCTTAATTTAAAAGAATCTCTTCCCCTGAACTGGCAATCTTCCTGTCTCTAGCTCTTTGTAGGCCCGTGAATTTAGATCTCCCTGAGTATCTTTGTGAAGTCTGTCGAATGACACTGGCTAGCTGTCCATCGATTTAATCATCAGGACTTCTAGAATCCTTGGTGACTTCTTTGGAGACTGTGTCTATTCCTCCCACAAATATGGATGGGGAAGACCACGGGCTGTATATAGTGGAGCTGTAAAGTTCTCACCCCAGTTGCAGGAAGCTAGGAGGCCTTGACGACGAAGCTAAGGTCAGTGCTGCTGAGACAGACGCCAGATGATCTGTTAAAAACTGCTGGTCCTTCTTTGCATCAGTAGGGCCGAAAGTAAATCATTCTGTCATCTTCAGAGGTCGTGGTTCAAATCTGGAGATAAGTGTCTCATTTATTGTTCTAGATCTATTTAGACCGAAGAACATACTTCGCCATGGTTTCTATCTGAACCAATTTCCATCATCAATCTTGTAGTACTTGTTCTTGGCATCGGAGATCAGCTTATAGTTCTCATCGATGTCTTGGCGCTTTGAAGAAGGGTTCCATATTGGCGCGCGGAGAACTTCTTGGCGCTGAAATTTGGCAGATGTGGCGCCTGAACCTTTGTGGCTTTGTTAAATGCTGTATCTAGGTTCTGAGGGTACCGCTAATCGGGTCGATTGGGGTAGTGTAATAGCATCTGCGCCATCTTCTTTCATCAGATAAGTCTGCTTTATTGCCACTCTTGAAGGTGATGAGAGATCTAGATTATTGACCATCCAATATCTTATCTCTGCATCTGAGAAAATAATTCCTCCATCATCTTCCATTCCATCATCATAGATAAGAGGTTGTTGCTCTTCTGATGTAGGGCTGTGTGGCTCTATCTCTATATCGCTTGACGCTTGTGGAGATCTAGTTGTAGGCTTATGTGCAGACCCGTGAGGTGATCGACGGTGATCGGGCGAGGTGATCGCCTTGGTGATCTATATCGATAGGTTGACCTTCTTGGCGATCTATGAGGGGACTGATAGCTTCGCCAAGCTCTTGTGTAGTCCCTTGCTGATCTTTTAGATGAAGACGATCTGGGTTCAGGTGTCCTTCGAACGCTTCGCAAGCTTTCAGATGCGCCGGGTCCTGGGGAACGATGATATGACCTTCGCGAAGGCTTCATGCGGTGGTCTGGTGATCAGATTCCATATCTGAGTATGACGCCAAGAAGGTGATGATTCTTCCCGCGCAAGGCCTTCGCTAAGGCTGTACATCTGGGTCCTTCGTCGAGGTGGTCTGTGACTTCCTTCAAGGCTGCATTGTCGCGGGCTGCTACGCTGACAGATGGTGCCCCTGGGTGCTGTTCACGTTGGAGCCTTCAAGGCTCGACCCTGGGATGGCTGCTTCTCCAGTCTATAGTGGCCTTCCATCATAATCATGATCTGTTTCATAAGATCGCTTTGGGATGATCTGGCGACGTAGTAGATGGTGCCCTTTCTGCTGTGTTAGCTGTGGGGCCCTCAGCCATCTCGCCTGACATCAGTGTAGAGGCATCAGGCTGCTTGTTGATCTCTGCTGACGCCACTGTCGCTGTCACTGGTCGCCTTCTTGTATGCATGTCGGGTATGATGATCGGCTGGTCATCGAGAGGCCCAATTCTGCTGCTGGAACGATCTCGCCTGAGAAAGTTCTCGATGACTTCAGATTTCCTTTGGAGGAAGACGCCGCCCTGGGGTACGGGTCTGGCGCTGAGAAGACGTTGAGGCCCTCTTGACTTTGTCTGCGATGACTGGATGTCTGGAGAGGCCGGTCGCTTCTTAGAGGTGACGGACTGCATCCCACGCCCCTCTTCCGATGGGGTCTCAAGCAGAACACCAGACGGGAGGGGATCACCGACAGCAGTTGACTGGATGGGCAATCCGGACGTGATCGGCCATGTCTACACCTAGTTTGGCGCGGACCTATCTGCAACACGCCTCAAGACGCAAAGATGGTATTTATCAAAGGCAGAATTGGTTAAATTTATGCAGTAACTGCAACGTGAGTCAAACGCACAAGGCGAGTACAACTAGGGCATACCACATGCGGATCCGCAGCGGAAAACGTAATCTACAAATAGTACAGTTTTTCATCAATGTAAAACTAGCTGAACAATCACTTAACTCACGGAATAAACAGTAGAAATAATGATTAATTATTAACGCAAATAACTGAAGGATACTAGCTATACCTTTATAGTAAACTATAAAAGGTAACTAACTAAGAAAACCAAAGGATATAGTGTGTAAGGAGACACAGGCGCCTCACATCCTGCTCACTGGGCGAAGAAGGAGAGAGTGAAGCATGAGGCCAGAGGGTGGCGACACCTGTTCCCGCGCTCACGGCAGGGGAGGTAACTCGTGGGTGAGTACCAATTAGTGATTTTACATTGAAGGGAGCTTCAATTAAGGAGATACAAGTGTTCCACTATGTTCGCAAGAGGAAGGGGACAAGCAAAAGAGCATGAGTCAGGATAAGGAAAAATGACAGACTCGGTTGGGATGATGAGCCGTATCCTGATTTCCTTGATACCGCAGGGGTGGAGCAGACCAGGGTGAGGGGTGGGGGCCACAGGCGGACTTCTGCTTGTCACTGGTGTGCTGCAAGGACGGTACAGCCATTTTAAAACACATGGTCCCTCTTACACACATACATGTAAACTGTGAAGTCGGTTCAATTGGTACATGTTTTCTCTCCAAATTTGCTTTTCAAGTAAGACAACCTGAGCTAAATCCAACGCATACATAATTCATATAGGACCAATTCACAATGAAACAGGATACATTCAAGGAGAGAGATTTTCTTCCTTCGTCTATTCACTGGAAAAATTGGAGCTACACGATTCAGCCTAAGTGAGTGTTTGTTGTCATTGTTTAATGCCATACTCAGTAATATACTCATGGAAATAAATAAAGAAACACAAGAAAGAGCAAATGTTTTAAGACTCTTTTCCAGGTTTTTGTCATGCTTCATATTGCACTGTGAGTGAAAATCTGGAAATAAACAAAGGAACACTTGTACTTTCATGTTTTCTCTTAATCGTTTCCATGAGTATAGTGAAGCAGCATGGCAGTAGCTTGTAAACAATAGTCTGGACCAGACAAACCAGTGATTGATACTATGAGCAACATGTCATGCCTTCGGGGCATAATGACGTTCAGTTAACCAAGCCACCAAGAGTGACCCCCAATTGCTTCTTACAAGTTAAGATTACTATTGACCTAGTGTACATCTACATTCCCAAGGTGCTGGGTGAGTGACTTACACTGGCCTCTGTCGGTTCTGGTAGGGGATATCATTCAAGTCCTTGGCATTCTCCAGGTGTATCCAAGCAGCCTGGATGTCACATGTGTACAGCTTGCAGGGCTCATTCAGGAACACCTGGGAAACAAAGCAGTCAGTGTGTCTTCACCTATTTTGATAAAAGCTTGTGATGACATACATGTGTAACTAATTACTGCACTGTATTTTCCATGCAACCTAAGTGTATGTCAATGAAAAAAATATGACAACCTTAATTTTGAACTACCTTCTTTTGAAATGAAAGTTTTATGTAATATATTTGTACAAACCTGTAGAGGTTATGAATTCTTTGAAGAAAAGTCCTCCTTGGTGTACACATAAGCATTAAATGTCCATTTTAAAATACCTATGACAGTTGTAACAATATTTCAATCAAATATTTTACCAAACAAAAACTCGTTTTCTTTAGTGAGACCACCCCAATAGGGCCCCTCACAGGGCCCCCTAAAGCCAAGAGCAGGTAACTCTTGCTGCTTACCTCGTACCTCATTTTCCATGCTGAACGTGTCAGACAGAATGAGGGGAGGTGGGCGGCCGTACCCCAAGGAAGACTCAAAGAATTCATAACCTCTACAGGTTTGTACAATTCTTTTTCAGAAGAAATCCTCCTTGGGGTACATATAAGCATAAGACAGACTCCCAACGATGGCGAGTCGTGAGGAGCGGTATTCTGTCTGGCTAACATACCCCCTAGTTCAATCGAAGGCACAGCCGAAGCCGAGAGAGAGAGAGAAAAAACACTTACCGAGTCACCTGACCGCTGATGTCAATCAGGCGGGGTGTGGCAAGGCGGGGTAAAAGAGCCTGGCTTATACGCTATTGGCGGAATTTTAATGATGGACATAAGTCCCAACCCCCAATCATCAAAATGGGAAGGAATGTATGGACAAGTCCTAAACATACCTAATCCCAAACCAGCGAAGCGTGGTGCAGGGAAGAAAAACAGTGGATACAGCGTGTGACAATGCTAGAGCCAATAAATCAGTAAAAAACACCTCCAATCTGATACCGCCACTGATAAAAATTGTGGAATTTCATAAAACCGACACCAGGAAATAAAAACAATCGTGACTTCGAAAGCTCATTCGGCTAGAGAGTCACGACACTGCCCACTGGTGAGAACTGTCTGGCCAAACCGAGCACATTCCCGTGAGTGTTTGTCCAGTTGATAATGGCGGATGAATGTACTCGGTCGGCTCCAAATAGCCGCTGAGCAGATCTCCGCAATGGGCAGTGCCGCGGCATATGCCTTAGATGTCGCCACTGCCCTAACCGAATGAGCCTTTAACCCATCAGGGATAGTTAACCCTTGGTGAGAGTAACTCATACAAATGGCAGAGACAAGCCACCTAGATATGGTCTGCTTGTTCGCCGGAAGACCAGCCTTACCACCGCCATAACAGCAGATCAGCTGCTTATCTTTCCTTGAGAGTCTTACGGACATCTAAGACGTGAGCACGTCGAAGAGAGGTACCAGACGATGGAGGCTGAGTAAAAGCTGGCAGTTCAATAGGCGCCCTTATGTGAAAGGCGCCTGCGTTCTTAGGAGGTAAGAGTCTGGCAACCGAATACTGACTCTGTCTTTGTGAAAGACAGTCAGAGCAGGATCCGCTGACATCGCATGGATATATCCTACCCGCCGGTCAGACGTTACCGCCACAAGAAAGGCAGCCTTCCAACTTAACAGCTGGAGTGAAAGAGACGACAGATCGTGAAAGAGAGGACCGGACATCCAATCAAGAACGATTGCCAAGTCCCACGGGGGACTAATCCGCCTGACAGTCGGACGGATTCTGTCCATCCCTGCTAAAAGTGCTGCACCAGAGGGTGCTGCCCCAAGAGAGCACCGTCGGCAGGTACATGGAAGGCAGAGATATCTCTGCCGTGGAGTAGCCCCGGATAGTAGACGGAGCTAAGCCTGATTAATCGAGATTGTAAGAACTCCAGTACTTCGACTACAGTCGAAGAAAAGGGATCGAGAATCCCTCTGACGACACACCAGCGCGTATAACAGGCCCATCTATCCTCATATTGAACGTTTGCCGAATCCCTCCGCAAAGCCAGAATGGTGTCTGCAACTGGTGCAGGAATTCCGCTCGCTTGGAGGCGATTCTGGACAGTGGCCAGGCCACCAACTGAATCCTTGGATTCGGGTGCGGTGCTCCGTTCTGGGATAGTAGGTCCAGTCGAAAGGGTAATAGTACAGGAGGCTGAGCCAGAAACCTGAGTAGTACCGGAAACCAGCTTTGAGCCGCTTAAAGAGGTGCAAGGAGCACAAGAAGTCGAGCTGGTTGGGTGGCAAGCTGCGAGAAGACTTTGGGAATCAGGGGTAGTGGCGGGAACGCCCACAGAACCCTGCCCATCCAATCGAGCTAGAAAGCATCCGAGGCGATGGCTCTCGGATCCGGTATCCAAGAGCAAAACACCGGAATCTGGTTCGTCCCCCCAGAGGCAAACAGATCCACCTGGAACAACCCGAACAACTGGGAGATAATCCCGAATATCTCCCGATTGAGCATCCACTCGTGCTGGGCCAGGATATGCAGAGAGAGCGCGTCTGCTCGATAAACAGGCATCACCCGTATGTCGAACTGGTCGCACCAGAGCAGAAACTGCCACCCTTCCTGCAGGAGGGACGGGGAAACTGTACCGCCCTGCTTCAGGATATAGGTCATCGCCATCTGGTTGTCCATCTCTAGACGAACCACACGGCCTCGAACCCGCTCCCGAAGTCGTTTGAACACTAACCTGACTGCTCTCAATTCTAGCACATTGATGTGCAGTTGCACCTCGCTCTGTGACCACAGGCCTGAGACTAACAGGTCACCCAGCACGTCCCCCCACCCTGTGAGGGAGGCGTCTGTCTGAATCGAGAGATCTGGCGACGGGATGTCTAAGGGGATCCCCCTGGATAAATTCCCTGCCATTGTCCACCACCGTAAATGAGGAATTAGCCACCCCAGAGTTTGGAGAATCAATTCGTAACCCCGATGTGAACTCACATTGGAGCCAAAGTTTGCTGTATGGGTCGCGCTCGCCAAACAATGTCCACCGTTGCCGCCATGTTGCCTAGCAACTGGAGCCAAGTCCAAGCTGAGGCCCTGGGGGACTCGAGAAATTGTAACACAACTCTCTGGACTTTGGTGACGCGGTCCGGAGACAGGGAGACTACACCTCACGCTGTCTCGAATCTCGCTCCCAAGAAAACCAGATCCTGGGTGGGAACCAGTTCTGATTTCTTGAGATTGATAATCCAGCCCAACTTGGTGAGTATACTCATCACAGAAAGTGTCGCAACTCGACTCAAGTGAGTGGCAAACGCACGAAGGAGCCAATCGTCTAGGTACTGGTGACAGCACCTGCCCTGTGACCTGGCTACCTGCGCTGGAATTAGCATGAGTTTGGTGAACACCCTTGGCGCCGTGGAGATGCTGAAGGGGAGCACATGAAACTGATAGCACCTCCCGTCGAAGGAAAACCTTAGGTACTTCCTGAACTCGGGGTGCATTGGGACATGGAGGCACGCGTCTTTGAGGTCGATTGACGTGAGCCAGTCTCCCTTCTCCACAGATGAGATCACTGAACGCAGTGTCTCCATCTTGAAGGATGGTACCTCTATCATGTCGTTCAGACCTTTGAGGTATTTGGTGACAAGGAAATAGGTCGAGTAATAACCCACCATTTCCTGTCCCACTGGAACCACCTCGATGGCTGCTTTGTCCAGTAATGACTGGACCTCGGCACGGAGCACCTCTGCCTTCTCTAGTGCAGCAGGCAACGGATCCCAGAGAAGGGAGGTGGGTCTCGCTTCCACTGTGGCATGTGGCCTTCCCTGAGCGTGGACAGGACCCAGGGATTGGAGGTGACCTTTTCCCATTCCAACAGAAAGAGAGAAAGTCGACCACCCACAGGGATATGTGGCATGAGGCAATGGATACCAGACGTTGGCAGTACTCCGATTGCTTGATCTGGTACCGACAAGGGTTCCGGAGGAATTATTGCTGGGAAGCCAGGGCTGACTTCCCCTCCTCTGAAAAGGCTGGTGGAGCGCCGTAGCCTTGCCCTTGCCCCTGCCTCTGCCCTTACGCGACTGTAATGGCTGAGCCCATTTAACAGGTTCCTTTGCCGAGGCAGAAGGATAGGCGGAGGTAAGTACCAGGGGCCAAGTGTGAGACATGTGAGGCTGTTCCAACAAGGGTTAGAGTACTTGAAGGTTGATACAGCCTCCGCGGCTTCCCGGACTATTGTAGCTGCCTCGGGGGAACAGGGTAGAACCCATCCGGAACGGCAGCGCCAGTAGAGCCTGTTGCGTGGCAGGAGAGTACCTCGCCACAGAGAGCCACAGGCGACGGAGACCCATAACCGCCGACATCATTTGGCAGGTCGACGACCTAATAGAGTTGCGCGCCAGATGTGACTTGACCTCCGTCAATTGTTTTGCCAAGGTGGAGGGAGACATAGCTTCCTCGACTCCGCCCACATCCACTAATTGCCTCTGCAATACCGAGATATAGGGAGAATTGATGGTAGCTTTGAGGCACTCGACCGCGTTGCAGTACTGCTCCTCAAAGGAGTGATATGCGCACTTGAGTGCCGTGGCGTTGGCTGTGAATGGCGGAAGCCGACAGCCTTGTTTGACGGAAGCAAGCGAGCTACCAGACGAACCCTCTCACCCATGAGGTACCGACGGTCCAGCTCGGGCAAGTCGAACCTGGACCTGATACCACAGAGGAGCGGGTTAATAACTTCAGTTAAGACTGAAGGCAAAATGCGTAGCCGTGTGTCCGCCACCTTAGTAGGAGTGTATACCTCCCCAGGGAGGCAAAACTTCGTAGGGTCGGGTGGCCCTACCTGAGGCAGGATGGAGGCAATATGCTCCCGCACCTGTCTCAGGGACGCACTGAGCGATACAGAAGGTGTACCTGACCCTCCCCGACCCTCATCCTCCTCGAACCGATCCTAACGGAGCGAAGTCTCTGTATCTAGAGAAAGCGCCGAGGGTTCGTCCGAGGGGTCTAAGGAGAGTGACAGTGGCTCGATCAGAGCCGAGGTGCCCGGTACGCCCGTCCCAAGACTCGAAACTGAGTCATGGTGGCGAGATGAGGAAGAGCCCGACATGGGATTCCCCAACGGCAAGCATAACGGTGCCGACACCGAATGGCCCGGCAAAGCCGGCGCAAGCGGTAGGACCAAATGCGAGGGGGTAGCGGAAACTACAGGGAGAGCCTGTAACACCGGCACCAACTACCGACCCAGACCCAGATCCGAGGCTCCGACTGGTGGCAGCCACCGTAGCGGGAGGGGCGGCCGGCAGCCGAGACAAGGCTCGGTGCAGATGCACTCCCGACAGAAATCCCCACACCAGAGCCTGAGCTAAGGTTGGGGACACTGCCCGCCACAGAAACGAAACACCCCCCAGTACCTGGCTGGACGATAATCTCCTGACGGAGACCGGACATCGCGTCCGATATGAGCGAGTGAACCGATGCCATTTGCAGCTGTAAAAGATCGGAGATTAGTTCAAATATTAATGGATTTGAAACTGACATGTGGAGGTGAAGGTGCCTGTGATGTGGAAGGAATGGCTGGTGAAGGGACCGAAGATCCCGCACCCTTCGCCCGTTTAGGCGCTGTATCCCCTGAAACAGATGAAGAGGAAGAACCCTTCTTTTTCTTAGCCTTTTTATTCTTATCCTTAGAGGGAGGCTCCTGCGTCTAATGTCCCCCCCCCCGAAGCAAAGACATGTAGAACATATCATGTGAGGTACGAGGTAAGCAGCCAGAATTACCTGCTCTTGGCTGTAGGGGGCCCTGTGAGGCGCCCTATAGGGGTGGTCTCACTAATCAAATCGAGTTTTTGTTTGGTAAAATATTTTATTGAAATATTGTTACAACTGTCGTAGGTATTTTAAAATGGACATTTTAATGCTTATATGTACCCCAAGGAGGACTTCTTTTGAAAAAGAATTATGACTCATTTCAAAAATGAATTTCAACAAAATTAATGAAACAATCAATCAAACTACCTCCTGTAATGCTTCCAGTGATTAATTTTCAACTTCACATGAACAAGTGCCCCATGCTGTACCCTACCTCCTTCATGTCCATGTAGTCCTTGGCCTTCATGAACTTGTGTCTGAGCAGCTCCACCAGGGACAGGCAGGTGTTGAGGAGCACCGAGTCCTGCCAGCCCTGCATGAAGCACTGGTCCCAGATGTACATCACTCCGGGGGTGTCCAACACACTGATGAAGCCCTGCAATACATATGTGAGTGAGTGAGATGGGTGAGTGGGTAGGGTGAGTGAGTGAGATGGGTGAGTGAGTGAGATGATAGTGAGTGAGATGAGCGAGTAAGATGAGTGAGTGAGGTGTGTGAGATGGGTGAGTGAGTGAGAGAGATTAGAGTGAGTAAGTGAGACGGATGAGTGGGTACGGTGAGTGAGATGATTGAGTGAGTAGATGAGAGTGAGATGAGAGAGTGAGATGAGTGAGTGGGTGAGTGAGTGAGAGATGAGTGACATGGATGAGTGAGTGAGATGAGAGTGAGTGTGTGAGGGAGATGGGTGAGTGATTGGGATTGATGAGTGAGATGAATGAATGAGTGAGATGGGTGAGATAAGAGTGAGTGGGATGAGTGAGTGACTGAGTGAGATGGGTGATTGAGATGAGAGTGAGTGGGTGAGTGAGATGGGTGAGTAAGGGAGTGATTGGGACTGGTAAGTGAGATGAATGAGTAGGTGAGATGGGTGAGTGAGATGAGGGAGTGAGATGGGTGAGTGATAGTGAGATGGGTGAGTGAGATGGTGAGTGAGTGAGATGAGTGAGATGAGTGAATGAGATGAGTGAGATGGTGAGAGTGAGGTGAGATGGAGTGAGATGGATGGGTGAGTGAGTGAGTGAGATGGGAGTGAGATGGTGAGTGAGTGAGAGTGAGATGAGTGAGTGAGATGAGTGAGAGAGGGTGAGTGAGTGAGATGAGTGAGTGGGTGAGAGTGAGATGAGTGGTGAGTGAGATGTGTGGTTTGGGTGGGTGAGATGGGGGCATGAGTGGGGCATGAGTGAGTGAGTGAGTGAGAGTGAGATGAGTGAGTGATGAGGAGTGGAGTAAGTGAGTGATATGGGTGAGTGAGTGAGTGAGATGAGTGGGTTGGGTGGGTGAGAAGGGGGCATGAGTGAGTGAGATGGGTGAGAGATGAGTGGGTTGGGTGGGTGAGAAGGGGGCATGAGTGAGTGAGATGGGTGAGTGAGATCAGTGGGTTGGGTGGGTGAGAAGGGGGCATGTGTGAGTGAGATGGGTGAGTGAGTGAGATGGGTGAACAAGTGAGATGAGTGAGTTGGGTGGGTGAGATGGTGGCATGAGTGAGTGAGATGGGTGAGTGAGTGAGATGGGTGAACAAGGGAGATGAGTGAGTTGGGTGGGTGAGATGGTGGCATGAGTGAGTGTGTTAGATGGGTGAGATGGGTGAGTGAGTTTCAATGCTGATCTAAACATTATCTCACTTCTGTCCCTGGGTGTCACATTGTATGAAGTGATGCAGGTCCTACTCAAAGCAGATCTGGGATTCAAACCCATCACCATACATTTCTGGCCTCCATAATAACAGTGAATTGCATTGCCATAGACATCAGGGCAATCTGAGCCACTACATGTATTGGTGCCATGTACCACATGATGCTCAACAAAAGAACTGACAAAACCATAGCTACACAAAGCTACTATCAAGCTTATCCCTGATGATTGTGGATGTCCTTACCTCGCCTATCCACCTCCGGAAGAAGATGAGAGGGTTGGCCAGCAACTCGGTGGCAGTAATGTCCGTCCTCAGTGTGCCAGGGGTAGCCTGATACAGTGCCTCTGCCTTGGACTTCTCCTCGTGGATCAGCTGCACCAGGAACTCCTGTAGACACAAGTCAGTGTTACAGTAACAAACACAGATGACAGGATCATTTTGCGGAACATTTGATGTTTGAGTAATAGTTGCAGGAAATGAGCATTATTATGTCTTGGGTTTCCAACTAAGCTAAGGCAGTCAAACTGGAAAAAATTATTTGTATATAATTTGAATTTTATAAAAATAATTATAAGAAAAACTGTGCATCAAACCTCTTCCACTTTGTTGAACAAGGCCATACAGTTGGTATGACTGACTGACTGACATTGGTTTTACGCTGCTTTTAGCAATATTCCACCAACATCACTGCGGGGGACACCAGAAATGGGCTTCACACATTGTACCCATGTGGGGATTCGAACCCGGGTCTTCGGGGTGATGAGCCAACGCTTTAACCACTAGGCTACCCCACCGCCCCAGTTGGCATGAAGCCAACAATCATAACACTGGTTTCAACCCAAATAGATCCACCTCTGCAAAGTATGATCTGGCACCCCAGAACCCATCTTGGGGTTTACGAATCCACAGAACAATAGGCTGCTTCAAAATAACCAAGGTGTTTGCATCTTCAGAAGTCTCCTCCCTGTAAGTTACACAGCTGTTAGAGTTTCTGCTTCTTACACCATTCTCAGCAATTTTTCAGCTATGTGACGGGAGCCTGAATATAATTAAATCCAAAGTAGTCAATCCAGTAACTGATGCCTCGACCTATCTGTTTGGTAAACTCTCATGAATAGTGACATATGTAATATTTGGGATCACATTTTTTCAGTAAAGTAGAGATTCCAGTGCCCTTGTTGGGTTGAGACTCATCTGGGAGCTGAACCCACACTCTCAGAGTCAGGCACCTAATCACTATCACACAATATCAGTGAGTGAGTGAGTGAGTTATTGTTTAACGTCACATCGGCAATATTGCAGCCATATCGTGACGAACACAATATCAGCCATCTAACCCACCCAGCCAACTGTTTAATGGTTAGGGGCTGGCTACCTTGGGGTTGACCTTGAAGTTCTTCTTGGCTATGCTGGTGAGGTGGTTGTGGAGTTCTGGGTCGGCCTGCCGGAGTGTGTTCATCACCTGCTCTGCTATTGCAAACACCTGGGGCCACTTGGGAAAACAGTTGGTGTTCAGCAGGTCCAGATACATTGCCAGCTCAAATACATGCTCCCCTGCAACAAATCACTGGTATTATTACTGACACACTTCTTGTTTTTAATAAAAACAAACACGGACCTGCCAGTTTCAGCAGGGATTAAAAGCAATGTCTAACGATCAACCTCATCCACTATATGTAATGAGGTTTCAAAATGGATTTTGACCTGTGAAGATCCGGGTTGGAATCGGTCTTCAGCAACCCATCTTGTGGTAAGAGGCGACTAACCTGATTGGGTGCTGACTTGGTTGCCACATGTCATTGTATCCCAATTGCATAGATTGATGCTCATGCTGTTGATCACTCTATTGTCTGGTAAAAGCTCGATTGTTTATAGACTGCCCCCCATATAGCTGGAATATTGCTGAGTGCGGCGTTAAACAACAAACAAACCCAACCAAATCAAAATAGATTTACAACACTGAGCCATTTGTAGATTTCCTTATCTCTTTGTTTAATACTCTAGCTGTGTGCATGATAAGATGACGGCCTGTAAATGATGGAGTCGGGACCAGACAAACAAGTGACTGATATTATGAGCAACGATCCATAATATCACAGTACAGTCATACATCAAGTCACCGAATCTGATTGCCAAATTCATTGAGACACCTTGTACGACAAGCATAGATCTGGTAGTGACAGAGTTATATTTACATCTTTACTAGTCCGAAAAATAATCTGCTCCAGAGTTGCCTTCTACTGAATGTCAATAGAGGTCTCCCTCAAGGAACCCGTGAAGGTCCAGGTTAGAATGAACCTTCAGTAACCCATGCTTGTCGTAAGAGGCAATTAACGGGATCAGGTGGTCAGGCTCGCTGGTGTGGTTGCCACATGTCATTGGTTCCCATTTGCGCAGGTTGATGCTCATGCTGTTGATCACTGGATTGTCTGGTGCAGACTTGATTATTTACAGACCACCGCCATATAGCTGGAATATTGCTGAGTGCGGCGTAAAACTCAACTCACTCACTCACTCACTCAAGGAATGCTAATGGTCCTTCTTGAATTTTACAACTTGAGGTCATCACAGTGGACTACTGGGACCAAATTAAACCTAACAATCCCATACTCTATGTATTGAATGTCCCACCTTTGTCATCCAGTAATCCCGTGGGGCTCCTGAAGGCCAGCTGTAGAGGGAAGAGCCAGTGTATGAGGTAGGGCTCATAGCTCCGGTCATACACATACAGGACGTTCAGGGCACGAGCAGTCTCTTTCATATGGTTGGCTTCCTTGTGGTTCACCATGGATGTTGTCTTGGTGTAGGTCTGCAACACAATAAAGGACTGACTGACTGACTGAGTTTGGTTTTACGCCGCTTTTAGCAATATTCCAGCAACATCACGGCGGGGGACACCAGAAATGGGCTTCACACATTGTACCCATGTGGGGAATCGAACCCGGGTCTTTGGCGTGACGAGCCAACGCTTTAACCACTAGGCTACCCCACCGGCCCCACAATAAAGGAACAGTTGAAGACTACTCTGACATTGCTGATAAGATCTTCGAATTATACATTATTTTCATTTAACACAGGTTATAAACATAATCAAACATGAACAACCATCACTAATCATCTAAACTGACCTCAATTGTAGCATTCTCTATAAGGCCATTGATAGGGGACTGTGTGGCACGCTTCAGCCTCAGTTCACTCAGTCCACGGGTCACACCATGGGCAAATCTCTCTCGGATCATCTTCTCAACATACCTGGAAGCATATATACTATGATAAATCCAGTTCTCATATAGAATCAACCAAGGAACAATATTGTCAGGGGACATTAACATGAGATCTCCCCGGGACAATGCTGCAAGGGAACAATAACCTGGGATCGCCTCTGGGACAATGCAGTATGAGGACAATAACCAGGGATTCCCCCAGGGACAATACTGTAAAAGGGACAATAACATGGGTAGGGCAAGACTGTAAAGGGACAATAACATGGGATCTCCCCAGGGCAATACTGTAAAGGGACAATAACATGGGATCTCCCCAGGGCAATACTGTAAAGGGACAATAACATGGGATCTCCCCAGGGGCAATACTGTAAAGGAACAATAACATGGGATCTCCCCAGGGGCAATACTGTAAAGGGACAATAACATGGGATCTCCCCAGGGCAATGCTGTAAAGGGACAATAACATGGGATCTCCCCAGGGCAATACTGTAAAGGGACAATAACATGGGATCTCCCCAGGGGCAATTCTGTAATGGGACAATAACATGGGATCTCCCCAGGGACAATACTGTAAAGGGACAATAACATGGGATCTCCCCAGGGGCAATCCTGTAAAGGAACAATAACATGGGATCTCCCCAGGGGCAATACTGTAAAGGGACAATAACATGGGATCTCACCAGGGGCAATACTGTAAAGGGACAATAACATGGGATCTCCCCAGGGGCAATGCTGTAAAGGGACAATAACATGGGATCTCCCCAGGGGCAATACTGTAAAGGAACAATAACATGGGATCTCCCCAGGGGAAATGCTGTAAAGGAACAATAACATGGGATCTCCCCAGGGGCAATGTTGTAAAGGGACAATAACATGGGATCTCCCCAGGGGCAATACTGTAAAGGGACAATAACATGGGATCTCCCCAGGGCAATGCTGTAAAGGGACAATAACATGGGATCTCCCCAGGGACAATGCTGTAAAGGGACAATAACATGGGATCTCCCCAGGGGCAATGCTGTAAAGGGACAATAACATGGGATCTCCCCAGGGGCAATACTGTAAAGGGACAATAACATGGGATCTCCCCAGGGGCAATACTGTAATGGGACAATAACATGGGATCTCCCCAGGGACAATACTGTAAGGGGACAATAACATGGGATCTCCCCAGGGCAAAGGACAATAACATGGGATCTCCCAGGGGCAATACTGTAAAGGGACAATAACATGGGATCTCACCAGGGCAATACTGCAAAGGGACAATAACATGGGATCTCCCCAGGGGCAATACTGTAAAGGGACAATAACATGGGATCTCCCCAGGACAATACTGTAAAGGAACAATAACATGGGATCTCCCCAGGGGCAATACTGTAAAGGAACAATAACATGGGATCTCCCCAGGGGCAATGTTGTAAAGGGACAATAACATGGGATCCCCCAAGGGGCAATACTGTAAAGGGACAATAACATGGGATCTCCCCAGGGGCAATGCTGTAAAGGAACAATAACATGGGATCTCCCCAGGGACAATGCTGTAAAGGAACAATAACATGGGATCTCCCCAGGGCAATGCTGGGAACAATAACAATCCCCAGGGGCAATGCTGTAAAGGGACAATAACATGGGATCTCCCCAGGGCAATGCTGTAAAGGGACAATAACATGGGATCTCCCCAGGGGCAATACTGTAAAGGAACAATAACATGGGATCTCCCCAGGGGCAATGCTGTAAAGGAACAATAACATGGGATCTCCCCAGGGGCAATGTTGTAAAGGAACAATAACATGGGATCTCCCCAGGGGCAATACTGTAAAGGAACAATAACATGGGATCTCCCCAGGGGCAATACTGTAAAGGGACAATAACATGGGATCTCCCCAGGGGCAATGCTGTAAAGGGACAATGACATGGGATCCCCAAGGGGCAATGCTGTAAAGGGACAATAACATGGGATCTCCCAAGGGGCAATACTGTAAGGGGACAATAACATGGAATTCACCAGGGACATTACAGTAAAGGGACATTAACCTGAGGAATACTGTAAACGGACAATAACACATCTAAGGAGACCCTATACTATGCATTTTCCTTTCAGCAGGAATGCCTTGATGACACAAGGGTTAACAAGTGTTTGCCACTGATATGGCAATGTCCCCCGCCACTAAAGAATGGAATATCTATATTTACTACTTTTTAATTTTTGGTCACATACAAGATGCCTGAAATGACTGGTGTCTGCATAATCACCCAATGTAGACTGTCAACATACATGAAAATGTTAAGTGCAATGTTTTATGAGAAATCGCATTTAAATAAGTTTGAAAAGCGGTCAAAGTGTCATGGTGACCTTGAAGATAAGGTCAAGGTCACCTAAATAAACTGGTGTCTGCGTAATACCCCAAAGTAAACTGTCACCAAATTTGAAGACATTGGGTACAACTGACTTACTGACTGACTGAGTTTGGTTTTACGCCGCTTTCAGCAATATTCCAGCAATATCACGGCGGGGAACACCAGAAATGGGCTTCACACATTGTACCCATGTGGGGATTCGAACCCGGGTCTTCGGCGTGACGAGCCAACGCTTTAACCATTAGGCTACCCCACCACCCCATTGGGTACAACAGTCCATGAGATATCGCGTTAACAAGAGTTAAAAGTGTGAAAGGTGTCGTGGTGACCTTGAAGACAAGGTCAAGGTCAACAAAATAAACTGGTGTTTGCGTAATCCCTCAATGTAGGCCATCACCAAATTGGGTCTTCGGCGTGACGAGCCAACGCTTTAACCATTATGCTACCCACCACCCCATTGGGTACAACAGTCCATGAGATGTCGCGTAAGAAGAGTTTGAAAAGTGTTCAAAGTGTCATGACCTTGACCTTATTTTCAAGGTCACCCAAATCGACTGGTGTCTGGGTAATCTCCCAATGTAGGCTGTCACCAAATTTGAAGATATTGGATACTACAGAGCATGAGATATCACGTTAACAACAGTTTGAAAAGTGGTCAAAGTGTCGTGGTGACTTTGAAAATAAGGTCAAGGTCACCCAAATTGACTGGTGTCTGCGTAATCCCCCAATGTAGACTGTCACCAAATTTGAAGACATTGGGTACAACAGTTCATGAGATGTCGCGTTAACAAGAATCGATACGTACGTACAGACGCCGGTGAATACATAGTCCCCCGTTCCGCGTTGCGGCGGGGGACAATAATTAAGTGGCACTATGCAGAGTTATATTTTTATTGAATGACACAATTTTCAAAGCGATTGATGGTCTGGAGCAGACAATCCAGGAGTATTATGATCAGTAACTGGGATACGATGATATGCCTCAGTTCAACAAGTCTGACCATCTGATCACATTAGTTGCTTCTAAGGACAATCATAGTTACACCTTACAACATTGGTCTAACCCTGATCTTCATGGGTCCATAGGGATATAACTACAGATCACTATCACAAGTCAGAATTGTCAACGTACACTTCTTTCATCTTCTTCCTCTCTATCTTGAACAACACATCAGCCCACATGTATGAGCGTAGTTTCCCTGGCAACTGGCGGCCATGAAGGCGTCCTGCCACGTGGTCAAACTTGCGAGGATCACGCTCCAGAATGGCCACAATGGAATTGCCCAGACCATCACTCTGTACCCCCCACAGTGGAGGTGGGTCCCCTTCAACCTTTTGCACCATTGCTGGAAGGAAACAAGACAAATTGAAACTAAAAATTTGTTGATAAAGAAAAAGCTGGGAAAAGAATCTAGAATATTAGTAAAATCTAAATATTTTTTATATTTGTATACTTATCCTGCACTACTTACTTACTTCCTGCACTTATTGCTTACGGCTCGAAAAGCGTGGCTTGCCAGACGATGTCAAAAAGACGTAGAACTGCAATCACTTCCTGGTCTCGGCTGCTTACTCGTCTGCGCATGCGTCACCGGAAGGTGACGTCAGCCACCTCAAATTATTGCTTAGAAATCCCACAGATGGCAAAACTAAAGCGGGGAGGTAGCTGATAGCACAGGGTGGGCCCTTATCATAAGTAGTGCAGGATAAGTATACAAATATAAAAATATTTAGATTTTACTAAATTTTTAACTAATCCTGCACTACTTACTTCCTGCACTTTATCCGACAGGCTGGAAGGTAGGCGTGTCATCTGAGGATACCAAACTGCGTAATAGCAGCCAGCTCAATCCGTAATCCGTGCTCGAGGCGTTGATGATAGCGCCTATAACAGAAGGCGAATTAGCGAGGGGCGATCAAGTAGCGGTAATTCGCAAATAAGACTGCGTCTTAAATGAAAAAGAACCCACTAATTTTAAAGCTGGTGAAGCTTAAGGAATGCAGCAAAAGCATGGACTTGAAAAACAAGGATAACTCCTTAACTGACATACCTAGTTGTTTGTGAAGAAAAACAACTCATTCCCCACATGGTGGTCCGTGGAAGGAAACACAAGGCAGGAGGTCACTTTCTTGAGGGGAATGGCGAGTTGCTGAGCAACCACCAATGGTCGAAGCTGTGGACATCATTAGCGTCCTTGACAGCCATGTCGCGCCAAGTAATGACTGGCAAACACTGTGTCCGACCGCCAAAACAACCTTGCATAATGGATGACACAGTGCAATTACTGTGAAGTGCCATAGTCGAAGCAAGTGCTTTCGAATCTACGTGGGGATGAGAAGGGCGTAGGAGAGGTCCAGCCCAGCCGCTTTATATGCCTGAAGAATGGTTGTTCTTAACCATAAGGCAATAGTGTTTTGCTGACATCTGACTGCGGCGCCGGGACAGTGGAAGAAATAAGCGTTTCCTTGTACCACGAGCGCCTTTGGTGCGATCAATGTAAGTTTTTGAGCGCCGCGAATCGGTTTATAACAGTAATTCCGCATCGTCTTCAGAGCCAACAATAGATGATAATGGCGGGATGGAAAACTGGCGATCAGGTTGTCCTGGTAGTTGGTTTTAGCGATGAAATCCCAACACATACCTAAGTGCACAGAACCATGGCGGCGGCGTTCAAACTTGATCCTAGTCACGTCAAGGGCGTGAACCTCACTCACTCTAGCGCGGTCGCTAATGACAACAGAAATGCCGTCTTCCTGGATAAATCAGCGAGGAAGCGTTATCAAAGAGGTTCATACGGTGCACCCGCGGAGATGGTCTAAAACAGTGTTGAGATTCCATGCCGGTGACCGAAACTTCAACTTCTGGTCTTCAAGTCGGAATGAAGCGAAGCATGGCCTGTAATTCTGGGATTTTGGAAATCCTTCTGTCAGTGGGAATCGCTAAAACAGAGCTAATTGCCGCCAAATCGTGGCAATGGTGCCTCCCTTCAGGACGCCTGGGCGTTAGGAGATAAAGTAAGAAATCTGCTATGAACTGAGGAGACACAGTCAGCGGATCCTGCTTCTTGGTAACACAAAAGCGTTCAAGCGACTGCCACTTGTCGTCATACAAATGTCTAGTAGAAGTTCTGTCGCGCCGTCGCAATGGCTTTGGCTGCTCTAGCGAAAAACCCTTAGCACTCAGTGCTTTCTGCAAATGGTCCATGCGTGCAGATTGAATCGGTCTGGAGCGGATGCGGAAGATGGCTGTGAGGGTGCACTAGAGCGTTCCTCCCGCGTGGGTAGAGGGAAGGATCTCCTACCACTAGACTTTGTAGAGCGGGAAACCAGTTCCTGGCTGGCCACCAAAGCGCGACCAAAATTAGTCGTAAGCAAGTTGTCTCCTTGACTTTTGCGAGAACTTTGGGTAATAGAACTGGTGGCGGGAAGCATGCAGCGTGAAGTCCCTCCCATGATAGGCTGAGAGCATCCACCGCCCAAGCCGCTGGATCTGGGACTGGGGACACATACACTGGCAGTTGATGGTTTTGGCTGGTGGCAAACAGATCTATGTTTGGATAACCCAGTTAAGTGACTTAAAAGAGTGAAGGCCTCCTTGTGTAGCATCCACTCCGTGGGAGCAACTCTGTCGGGTCTCGAGAAGCGTCTGCTAGTATATTGCGGCACCCGGAATATGCCGCACTCTCAACAGAATGTGGAGATCGTCGACCAGTTGAAAAGAGCGAAATGTCTGATCGAGGAGAAACTGTGAGTGTGTCGACCCTTGCCTTCGTATGTACCATACGACCGTGGTGTTGTCTGTAGCCACTAGAAGACAAGTTCCTCGTAGTCGATGTGCCCAATGATGAATAGCGAGGATCACGGCCTCCAACTCCAGACTGTTTATATGCCAGTTGATGTGTTGACCCGACCACAGGCGGAGGCTGTCTGGTCGTGTAAGTGGCGCCCCAACCCTGCAGGGGCGTCCACGAACAGTTGGCAATCGGAGGCTGCTCTGTCAAAAGACTCCTCTAAGGCGTTCAATGGGCGAGTCCACCAAAGAAGATAGCGATGTAACTGAGGTGGAAGGCAAAACCGTTGATGAGCGTCTGCCCGGCGAATGTATGGTTGAAGAAACGCTGCAGAGGGCCGAAGTTGAAGCGCCCTCTGCTGGTAAGATCCTGCGCCCGGCGTCAACAATCCCAGAAGTGACTGCCACTCTCTGAGGGACAGAGGTTGGGAGAGAGTGCGTGGAATCAGAGACTGAATCTTGTCCCACCTGTCCAGGGAATCTGAACTAGGTTCTTGTCCGTCTGGAAATGGCCTCCGATGAGCGTCAGAGTGTGAGTCGGGACAAGCTCCGATTTGTCCAAGTTGACCAGCCACCCTAGTTGGCGCAACAGGAAAGGGTGAAATCCGTTGTTGTATAAGAAGTAGGCGGTCTAACAGGTGCATAAGGCAATGCGTCCAGGTGCGGGTCGAAATTGATGCCCCTCAAATGTAGATACCGGAAATAGGAGTTGTGATGCGTGTGAACAACCGCGGGGCCGTTGAAATTCCAAATGGGAGGACAGCCCATTGGAAATGTTGATTGTTGAAAATAAAGCGCAGGTACTTCCTGTAAGCTGGGGCGTGATGGAACATGGAGGTATGCATCCTGTAGGTCCAGGCTGATGAGAAAGTCGTTGGCGCATACCATAGATTTGAGGTATTCGAGGGGCGTCATTCGGAAGTGCGGAGGGCGTTCCAGGAAAGTCTCGTTGAAATAGGACAGATTGTGAATCATCCTCATTTTAGCGGACCCTTTCTTCGGCACTAAGAATATTGGAGAATAAAACCCTGGTGTTATGATGGGATACGGGAGGAGTTCGATGGCTCTTTTCTCCAACAAAATCGCTATGTTCTCCGCTAGAAGGTTGTGTTGAACCTGAGAGTGATTGTGCGGGCGGGAACATTGTCAGAGGTGGATCGGAGAGGAGGAGCGAAACCCCTGCCTCAATATATCGGTGACGTATGGATCCTCTAGGATGGACCAATTTTCCCAAAAGATCCCTATTCTCCCACCTACGGTGTAGGATAAACTGGGACGACTGGAGGTGGGAGTGTCCAGTCGTGCGTGTCCCTCACTTCACTTGCCCCTCGCCCGTGCGCCTGGGGGGAGCAGCGGCGTTGATATCCACCCTGTCTGATCTAGGCTTGGCACCACGTCCCTGCCACGCGAGGCGGCGCTGAGTTTCTGTACGCCCGAACAGGCGGTCGCCGAGGCTGGTAGGTGTTGGATGGCGTGGAGGCAGGGCGTTGTCCCTTTTGAAGCGCTTTCAAGGCAGTCTCCCCTTTGGCAAAATCCACACACCTGCCGATAAACATCATGAATGGCATCGTTAAACAGTGGCGGCGATGACCAGGGTTGGTGGAATAATTTCCGCTGAAATTCGAATCCCATGAAGAAAGGAGAGGAAGCCTTGCCGGCGAATTGCATACTTGGCGTTGGCAAGCGCCGACCTAAGGTGTTCCGCGCGAGGTCAGTGATCACTTTACCCTGCCATAGCATCATAGTTGTAAGATGATCCAGTCGATCCGGTTTATTTCCTTAAGATCCTGAGTGATGGCATCAGTCGCTGGACGCCAATGCCGATATAGAGGCGAACATACGCTTAAGCTCTAAGTCCAAAGCCGCGACCCTTGTATCCTGAACTTTATAGGAGGACACAGAGGAAGAACCTGTCACGCGTTTCATTTCCTCATCCACCTTAGTCACTGTCTGGGCAAAGTCCAAGCCATGAATAGGATAGTCATCACGACGTACTCTAGAAGGCTTTAATAGTTGGGTTGAGAGACATTCCAGCGAAATCTTCATCAAGGGTAGAGAGAATCTCTCTGACCGCCTCATGTGCTGGTAACATTAAGGAAGGCGAGTCCCAAATAGTAAGTGACTTTGCAACATCAGGGCCTGGTGAAGGGACTGAGGCTATTAAACGATCAACAATCCAGTCAAACCGCATTGATCAAAGCCAAGGTGATTAGAGCCCGTGTCTTCCTCATAGTCTGGGGGCAAAGTCCCTCTCAGAGGACGGGTGAGCGAAGCGGCAAAGGGAACGGCTACTGCAGGCGACGGCTTAGCAGAAGGCGCGCTTACTACGAGGTCTCGACCTATGTTAAGCCTGCGAAGCGATGGGCCTTAGCGGGAGGCGTTAAGCGTAGGCACAGGAGCGAACAAAGTTGACAAGATAGGCACCGATGCTGGAGGGGCAGAAGCGCCCGAAAATCGTCGGAGGTGGCAAAGGTGGCAAAGCTGGAGGCCGTAGAGGAAAGGAAGCGCCGATGTAGCTGGTGGCATAAGCGGCATAGGCTGATGTACCGGCTTGACCTGATAGTAAAGTCAAGAGAGTGCTGGCGTGGATACATCAAACTGCTGGTGGCCGTATGGCGTTTGCATCATAGGCGCCTGAGGCATTGGAAAACCCGTATGTGGTTGATATACGCATAAGGCGTCTGCCCCAGGAACACTGGCTGGGGTGTCTGATCTGGCGCAAACTGCTGGCCCATCGGTCGTTGTGGAGATGACATCGGCAACAGCGGAGGAGGTGAGGAGTGCCTTAAGCGCCCGAAGCGCCAGAGCGCCCGCCGATCAAGCGCCGACGAAGCTGGAAGCTGGAAGCCAAACGCTGTAACACCGGCGACATAAGCGGCGAAGACATAATCTGAATGCTGGTGACGAGGCATTCGTTGACACAGTTGACGCCGCAACACTTGGCGTAGGCGTGGTGGTCGTCAAGACCGGTGTCGAAGTAGTAGACATACTCTTCCGTCTCTGTTGTCCCAGAAGCTTCTTAACAACCTGTAGATATAAGCGGAGAAACTCTTGGGTGATAGCACAAGCGCAGCTGGCACATTTATGGCCAGAGGTACATTGAGTAGTACATTTCAAACATCGGGGATGAGGGTCTTTCTGAGACTTCCCACCCGACAATGTATACAACTGGCTGTACATAGATCTGCAATGAAGCAGAAAACCCAGTAAAGCATTACATACAAAGTAATGAATATAACAGCAAAGTTGAGAACAAAAGTCTCAAAATAACTGAAAGTTTAAGAGACCATAATACAGGCACAATAAATATACCACTATTATATGGTATAGTATATAAGCCTGAACCAAATGAAACACAACGGATTATCAAATGCTGCCACGGCAAAGTGTTTTAATGGCGAAGTGAAAGTGTGATGGCGGGGACCGTGTATAAGCGAGCGACATCACTACACAGAACTACTGAATGACAAAAAGAAAGTGAAAGATAATACCTACACTTCTCGTAGAGGTACAAAACAAAATACACACAAAGTCAGTCTTTATTAATGCTTCACAAAATATAATCCCGTGGGATACAAGTTGAGCTGGCAAACAACACGTCTAACGAGGCGTGCGAAAAGCAATAATCTGAGGTGGCTGACGTCACCTTCCGGTGACGCATGCGCAGACGAGTAAGCAGCCGAGACCAGGAAGTGATTGCAGTTCTACGTCTTTTTGACATCGTCTGGCAAGCCACGCTTTTCGAGCCGTAAGCAATAAGTGCAGGAAGTAAGTAAGTAGTGCAGGATTAGTTAAAAATTTCCTTCAGCCATATCTGACTAAGTCTGTCCATAATCCAATGATTTTGCTTGAGAAAAATCTTATAAGGAAATTTTCATTAACTTCTGACAGTCTTTAATAGCTATGATATTACAACCAAATAAAAAGACATTTGAATGACAAACAGTATGCCCTAGAATATGAAAATTGCAATCTGTAGTTATTGTAGCGATTTAATCCTCTTTCCACGGTCACTGTGCAACCCAAACATAAACACTTCTTTGTCGTTTTACTCACGAAGACCCAGGTTAAATTCCCCATGATCCTACAGCACTAACTACAGTGACTACAGCACTAACTACAGTTACAGTACTTACTCTTGATTTGACTTGTGGATGGTTTTGATGATTTGCTGGTGGCTGATGATGTTGCAGAGGATGCTGGTTTGAACCTGCTTGGTGCTGGCAGTCTGTACATGGCATCCCTGAGACCCTTCCGCTTGTTCAGTAATTCCTTTTGCTTCTGGTGCTATGAGTGAGAGAGTTTGGTTTAATGATGGTTTGCATGATACTTTAGTGATAACAAAACATGTTCTGTAACAGAATGAGTGAGTCTGGTTGGTCACTGATTTGAACGGCATTGCTGTTATATCACACTGTGGGTGAAAATCTTTAAATGATGCAGGTTTTAGATATTTTCCACTTTGCTAAAACCCATTATTACAGGCATGGTGTTGACAAACCTACAGACATAATCGAGGTCAATTCCCAACTTTCTTGCACCTCAGGAAAACCAACTGTGCACACCAAATTGCAGCAAAGCCACTTGTGCAGTGTGTCATTACAGAAGCTCATATTAAAGAGTGCAGCAGCTTTTCCCTACGACATCACTTTAAACTACACTGGCAAACCTATTGTCGGTCTCATTAAGTCAAACTATCTTGGTGCAAGATGTAGTTCTAGTGACTATGTTGACTCACAATAAGCAATAACCATCAAGTTGAATGAGTCAGGCCCATTGTGTGGCTATGGTCTGGTTGTGATAATAGGAGTTGCTTGTGAGAGGATGCTTCTGAGGCTAGGGGTTGTTTCTGATGCTTGGAGTCGGTTGTAAGGCTAGGGGCTGGTTGAGAGGCTAGTGACTGGTTGTGAGGCTGGGGACTGGTTGTGAGGCTGGGGACTGATTGTGAGGCTGGGGACTGATTGTGAGGCTGGGGACTGGTTGTGAGGCTGGGGACTGGTTGTGAGGCTGGGGACTGGTTGTGAGGCTGGGGACTGATTGTGAGGCTGGGGACTGATTGTGAGGCTGTGGACTGATTGTGAGGCTGTGGACTGGTTATGAGGCTAGGGACTGGTTGAGAGGCTGGGGACTGGTTGTGAGGCTGGGGACTGGTTGTGAGGCTAGGGACTGGTTGTGAGGCTGGGGACTGGTTGTGAGGCTGGGGACTGGTTGTGAGGCTGGGGACTCATTGTGAGGCTGGGGACTGGTTGTGATGCTAGCGACTGATTGTGAGCCTAGGGACTGGTTGTGAGGCTGGGGACTGGTTGTGAGGCTGGGGACTGGTTGTGAGGCTGGGGACTGGTTGTGAGGCTAGGGGACTGGTTGTGAGGCTGGGGACTGGTTGTGATGCTAGGGACTGGTTGTGAAGCTGGGGACTGGTTGTGAGGCTAGGGACTGGTTGTGAGGTTGGGGACTGGTTGTGATGCTAGGGACTGGTTGTGAGGCTAGGGACTGGTTGTGAGGCTGGGGAGGGACTGGTTGTGAGGCTAGGGACTGGTTGTGAGGCTAGGGACTGGTTGTGAGGCTGGGGACTGGTTGTGAGGCTGGGGACTGGTTGTGAGGCTGGGGACTGGTTGTGAGGTTGGGGACTGGTTGTGATGCTAGGGACTGGTTGTGAGGCTAGGGACTGGTTGTGAGGCTAGGGACTGGTTGTGAGCCTAGGGACTGGTTGTGAGGCTGGGGACTGGTTGTGAGGCTGGGGACTGGTTGTGAGGCTGGGGACTGGTTGTGAGGCTGGGGACTGGCTGTGAACCTAGCAAAAGGTTGTTTTGGATGTTTGGAGCTGCTTTGGAGCAATGTAATTTGATGTTTCGAATAGACATTATATAATACTACTTACTGCCAGTTCCATCTCCTGCAGATAACACTGTCTGTCCAGTCCATTCACAAACACACCAAATGTGTGCTGCATGAACTCAGCATACCCAGGAGGAGGCTCATCACTGGGGGAAGAAATGTAAGAATGTCTTCAATAAGTGAGTGAATAGAGAATTTCCCTGTCGGCACCTGCCATATGACAGAGACAACACAGGTGCAGGGCTGACTTACTGACTGAGTATGGTTTTACGCCGCTTTTAGCAATATTCCAGCAATATTACGGCGGGGGACACCAGAAATGGGCTTCACACATTGTACCCATGTTATGATTCGAACCCGGGCCTTCGGCATGACGAGCGAACGCTTTAACCACTAGGCTACCCCACCGCCCCACAGGTGCAGGGATTTATGTAGGATCCTGGACTAGGTTTTCCTGGCAGGGTTCCTCATTCTCACAATTTTTACATTGTATTTTATAGTTGCATTCAACATGATGCCAAAAAGTCAAATTATTGGATTGAATATAGGGAAGTATTTTCTTGTTCATTAGTAACAGTAACATCGACATACAAGATACCTTGACCAAGCCACCAAGTTTGGCTTAACTAAATCATTAATTGGGAATTGTATTATAAATCTGTTTTTTTCTAACACTTGCAACAAATTTGGGGCTGAATATTTCGTGTGATCTGATCCAAATAACGCCATGCTGAGGAAGAAGGACTATCTTTTGAATGATGAAGCTAAGGATCAAACAGATGCTCTGCTTTAAGACAAGGCACCATATCCATTTTACAATGGGGCTACATAGAATAAAAGCAACATACTCAGCTTGAGAGCCAGTGATGATCCTCTGGTACCCTACATCTTTCACTGCTCGGTACATCTGACTGTTCAGCCAGGACTGAGCCTCAACAATCAGCTTCTGTCTCTCTTCCTTCAACATGTTAGGTGGTTCCTGGAATAAGAAACATCAACATTGTTGCAAGCTAGCTCCGTACCTGAATCCTGCGTTCTCCTTTGACCATTTGTTGTTTCACATCAAACTTTACTCTGTTTCAGCAATATCAATATTGAACAAGAGTCATCAGAAGATGACATATCCCCCCGGGCCCCACATCTTTGAAAGAACAAATCATCTGACAGTTACTTCAAGTCCAGCTTGATTTTAGACTAAGTGCAAATCGTTTCATGGAAATCATGAAAAAAATAAATGACAAAAATCTGCAAATAGCAAAAGGCACCACTTCAAGATCTGCCTCACATATCTGCCAAGTTTTATTGAAAGATATTAAGAAGTTTTTGAGTTGTGCTCCAGAAAAGAAACCTACCCCTCACTTTGGGGACTAAGTCTGAATCATTTCCATGGAAACCGAGAAAAATAAAAATGACAAAAATCTGCAAATAGCAAAAGGCACCACTTAAGGTTCTGTTTGATATATCTACCAAGTTTTGTTGAAAAATATTGAATGGTTCTTGAGTTATGCTCGAAACGAAGCCCACCCCTCACTTTTTCCGAATTGTTTCCATGGAAACCGGGAAAAATAAATATGGCCCAAATTTGCAAATAGCAAAAGGCGCCACTTAAGGTTCTGTTTGATATAGCTACCAAGTTTTGTTGAAAAATATTGAACGGTTCTTGAGTTATGCTCCGGAAACGAAGCCCACTGCTCACTTTTGGGACTAAGTCCGAATTGTTTCCATGGAAACCGGGAAATATAAATATGCCCCAAATCTGCAAATAGCAAAAGGCGCCACTTAAGGTTCTGTTTGATATAGCTACCAAGTCTTGTTGAAAAATATCGAGCGGTTTCTGAGTTATGCTCCGGAAACGAAGCCCACCCCTTTTTAAGACTAAGTCCAAAACGTTTCCATGGAAACCGAGAAAAATAAAAATGACAATAATCTGTAAATAGCAAAAGGCACCACCTTAGGTTATGTTTGACATATCTACCAAATTTTGTTGAAAAATATCGAACGGTCTTTGAGTTATGCTCCGGAATCAAAATGATTACGGACGGACAAGGCGACGACTATATCCCACCGCATTACATGCCGGTGGGATAAAAAGGAAATACTGGGTTGATATGAACATTAACAACACTTGAATATGATGACATTATAATCTTTCTGCCCAAGCAGCCAACCAATTTCACCTACTTACAATTAACATAGTTAAGCTTGGGTTAATAGCTGATTCTATTCTTATGTTTGTTTCTTTGATGTTTAACTTCATATTCAGCAATGCCTCCTTGAAAACCCTTCAGGTGTTCAAGTGTGTAAGTATATACTGAATGACACCACACTGTTACAGATATCTAATTATTTCACTTTAACCCTGAAAATCCTTGCTTCCAAAGGTACAGGTAATTACCAGCAGCTGTGGATCTCTTTTGACTTTACTGAGGTATGAGTCCACGAACTGCTGACCCAGCACATCTAGCAGCGCTTCCCGTCTCTCTGCATGGATGAACTGTTTCTCTACCCGCTGTGCCAGCACTTCCGCCACCTTACTTTCAATCTGAAATATGACACACAATTCTTGTGATCTTCAGCTCTCCAAATTAACATATGTGACTAAATATGTTGAGGAAGGAAAATGAACCTATCTTTGTGGACTACCACTTACATAGAGTAGATGGAAGTGTAATGGTGTGGGTGGGTATCTCCCACACTGATACTAGCATTACAAATCTGGTCAAGTCAACTGGACAACAAAACGCTATCGTGGTGAAATCCTACATCCACACAATGTTCGTATTACGAACATGATGAGCCATATCAATGTCCTTTTTCAAAACCATTCAGAAAACAGCATTCCTATGGAACTACAATGTACAGGTTTACTCCGGACCTTTAAATCATCAGACTGAATCCGTAGAACATCTATGAGATGGGTTGGAACACAGTTTATGAAAGTGTCATCCTGAACAACTGACTCAGCTATCACATACACAACTGACCTTGTATCTGGTCATGTGTTGCTGTTTTTTGAGAGTATATGAATCTTCAGTTTTTGTATAGTTTGATTAGAGCATGTTCAAACTGATACAAGTATGTAATTTTCTGACTAAAATTGATATTTTATACTTATCCTGACTCATGCTCATTATGCTTGTCTCCTTCCTCTTGCGAATGATAGTGGAACACTTGAAATCCCTTGAATTTCCCTTTAAAAATGCGGACGTAAAATCACTCACCCAAGTGTAGCGTCCCTTTCCTCCCTTTGGCGCCCAAATGGTCACATGATTGGCCATATTTGTCACTCTCTCCGTATGTAAGCCCGACACCCGGATTTACAGGGAAATCCAGAGTGCCATAAGAGGGGAGGTTGGGAGGGCTAACCTCATGAGTCAGGATAAGTATAAAATATCAATTTTAGTCAGAAAATTACATATTTTTCCTTATCCTGACTCATGCTAATTATGCTTGCTGAATCTGTCGGAAACGGTGGTGGGTCAAACCACGTTCTGGATTCACTGGTTGTAGATTTACGTCCTGTATTACCCCCCTTCGGAACTTATGATGGCACAGCTGAAGATTCTTTCAACTTCTCTGATGAGTCTGGGGGGACCACAACTTGTCAGATTTCTCCGAAACTCCTCCTGACATTTTCGTGTGGATTTTAGATAAACTAATATTCCATTAGTTATCTATTACAACTCCATCTCTTGATGCGCGCATCAAGTGGAGATGCGACCCTTCTTCATGTACGAGTATGTCCTATACAAGTACAGGGTCTATCACTCATGCTAGTCTGTCCTAGAGGTGTGCATGGACTTATAGCCATTGCTCTCCAGAGCGTTGGTTTTCACAGGTCACGTGATAAAAGGGGTGAGATTTACTCAGCGCCTTTGTGGAACCGTTAGTTGTTGTGCTACAACAAGTGGCCCAAACTGGTGAATGCCTGAGACGTCTTCAGTGGCAATGTCTCTGAGGTAGTGGTTGGCAAACACCGTGTTCAATCTCCAAAAGCAGCCCTCCATTATAGTTGTTATCGAGCAGTTTCCATACAGAGCAAGTGTTGACGCCAGGGCTCTGACTTTGTGTGGATTGGAGGCTGATGGAGCTCAAGTCCTGCTGCTTTATAGGCTTCACTGTCCTAGAGACTTCCGTGGGCGTCTCAGTGGATAAGGGGATGAATAGGCGCTTGACTTTTCGTCTCCTTGTTTTTGGTTCTTTGTAAGTAGACTACTTTAAGTGCTCTGACTGGGCATAAGGAAAGATCCTGCGTATCCTGTGGCCCAAGGACTGTAGATAGTGCTGGGATGTGGAACTGTCTGTCAGGCTGACCAGGCAGTTGGTTCTTGACGATAAAATCCCATCTCAGTCCCTGATGTACGATGTCACGATGTCTTGATTCAAATCGTGTTCGTTCAAAGTCCAGAGCATGTATTTCTGACATCCTTGCAGCTGTTGCTAGGGCAATCAGGAACAGCGTTTTCTGAGTTCGTAGTTCAAAGGATGTCCATTCTAGAGGTTCGTAGGCATCACTGGTGAGATGTTGTAAAACTACGTTGAGATCCCAGGCAGGAGCCTTAAATTTCTTTTGTTGGTCTTCCAACTTGAACGAGCGTAGTGGTGCCAGAATCTCTGGTACTTTGGTCTGCTTGATACCCATTTTCATGGTGATAACTGTACTGAGGGCAGCTAAGTACACTGAAAGTGTTGAACCTTTTAAGTGTCTCGTCTGTCATAGATGACATAAGTATTCCGCCACTTGAGGATGTGTTGCTTTCACCACTGTAAAGCCTTTCCTCTTTGCATATTGTTCAAATCTCTGCCACTTGTCGTCGTACAAGTTGTGAGTTGATCTGCGTAGAGCTAGTGTTACTGCTTTTGTTGCTCTGGCGGAGTACCCTCTAGTCTTCAGGCAAGCTTTAATACGCTCCACGCGTGCAGCTGGAACAGTGTCGGGTTCCTGTGAGCTTGCTTGGTGTGTGGATGGACGAATAGGTTCGACCACTCTGGTAGTTTCAGGGTTGGACTTCCGAGTTATCCTGTATCCTTGTATGAGGACGGGAAACCATACCCTCGCTGGCCAGTAGGGCGCGACCAAAATCAGTTGCAACGTAGTCATCTGCTTGATTTTCTGTAGTACTTGTGGTAGTAGTGCAGGAGGCGGAAACGCGTAAGCTTTTAGTCCTTCCCATGAGATGCTTAGAGCATCTGTTGCCCATGCCTGAGGATCTGGAATCGGTGAGACGATCGTTGGTAGCTGTTTGTTGAACTTTGTTGCAAACAGGTCTATTAGTGGGGATCGTAAAGTCTGTCTGATGAACTGGAATGCTTCTGGATGCAACATCCATTCCGTCGGGGATGGTTGTAGTGGACGAGATAGGGCATCTGCTATGACATTCTTTGCTCCTGGAATGTGGCATGCCTTCATGTAGATGTTCAGGTCGTCGACTATGCTGAACAGGAGAAAGCTGAGTTGTAGCAGACTTGTTGATCTTGTTGACCCTTGTTTGTTGATGTAAAACGCCACTGTGGAGTTGTCCGTGTGTACCATGAGTCGTGCGTTCTTTAGTACGCTGGACCAATGTTGTAAAGCGTTGATTACTGCTTTCATCTCCAACAGATTGATGTGTGATTTCTGATCCTGACTCGACCACTTCCCTGCTGTCACTTCGTTGTTGAAGTGCGCACCCCATCCTTGTAGGGAGGCATCCCACGTAGAGATGAGTGTTGCAAACTGGCTCTGACAAAAAGGTCCCTCCGCAAACGTTCGACTTCCGAGTCCACTATAGGAGACATGGTTTCAGGCTGTCCGGTAGTATTAATGGATCTAGGCTGTCTAGGTGGGCGTTCACTAATACTTGTAGTGGGCGCAACTGTAATCTCCCTCTGCAAGTCATGTCTTGAGCTGAGGTGAGTAGACCGAGCATGCTTTGCCAAGCACGTAGTGTCAACGGAGAGAGCAATGGTTGAGGTATCATCTGTTGTATTTTGACCCAACGATCCCCTGGAACGACTATATGATTCACTGGTGTGATGAGTAGAATTCCTAGATATTGCAGATCTTTCGGCTCCAATTCCGACTTGAGGAGATTCACTAGCCATCCTAGTTGAGTGAGCAGCCTGGTGGTGAAGTCTAGTTGCAGTCTGAGTTGACTGGGATCTTGATGAGCTTGAATACCGTCGTCCAGGTAGAAAGCACTGCGTAGACCTTGACGATGTAGACATGTGACGATGGGCTTGGTCACTTGAGTAAACAACCAGGGGGGCGACGATATTCCAAACGGTAAAACCTTCCACTGGAAGTGCTGTCCATTGAAAAGGAAACATAGGTATTTCCTTGAGTCTGGATGTATAGGGATGTGGAGGTATGCATCTTGCAGATCTATGCTGGCAAGGAAGTCTGCTGGACGAACGAGAGGTCAGAGCTGAGGAAGATGTATCATCTTGACTTTTGCTGGTCTGCGTAGATACTCCCGGTTGAACTTCCTCATGTTGTAGATGAGCCGAAATTTCTCCTTGGAATGTTTCTTCGGTACCAGGAAAATTGGGGAGTAGAACCCGGGAGTGATGAGATCTTGATCTATCTCTTCTACTGCCTCTTTGTCGAGTAGGGTCCAGTTTCTCTAACCGGTCGGCTGTGTTGTTGAAGGCCATCGGGTTGCTTGTGAGCGGCGGAGTGGCTTCCAACTGTATCTTGTACCCTCCGCCCAGTATCTGGGATACGTAGTCGTCCTGTAGTCTCCCCCAATTCTCCCAGTACCGTTGAAGACGTCCACCCACTGTCGAAGGTTGTACAGGAACGGCTGGGGCTGGAAGACTCCAGTTGTTCTGAACCTGGCCATTGGCGATCCAGGAGTTAAATTTCCGTATCGGAGAAGACGCCTTCACCTTCATCTTCTGATTAAGACATTTCTCGCTCTAAGGATGCACGACGACTTGAGTCTATAGGATGATCTATAAGATGAGCTTCGCCGATGTGATCTTGAATCTTTCGTGGAGATTTGAGATATTTCTCTAGATATTCGCGAAGGTGGATTCCTGGACGTAGTTTCCCTTCTGTAGGAGTGTCTTCGCGCAGGTTCTTGATGGGCGTCAGAGTCCGATGGAGATGACGACTCATATCTGCAATGTCTGTAGGGTTTGGGAGAACGCCTTGATTCCTTCCTGCATGGAGACTTCTTAGCAGCACTCTCTGGGGCGTCTACTTCAGATGGGGAACATTGTCGTGTCTGAGAGCCTTTGCGCAGGCTTCCCTCTCCATCTAGATATGGAGGGGAGACTGTAGAGCCTTCACGCAGGCTAGTAGACATTGTAGTGGTCTTCATAGCAGCCTTCTTTTGAGCAAAGCGACGTTCCATCATTGACATCATCTGGTCTGTAAACTGTTGCATGAACAGTCCCGGGTTGAAGTTCTGCATTGTCTGAAGAGACTGCTGCAGGGATGATGCATCTGATACTGAAGAGACGTCATCTAAGGCTCGCTGCACTCATGAAGAGTTGACGCTGCTGCTATCTCTGGTACTCGATGTCTGCGTTGATAGTAGGTCTTCTGTCAATGTCTGCGCTGATACCAATGCCGATGTAGCTGTAGAAGCAGGCTTCGTCTTCTTACTGACGATGGTGACTTCAGGTATGAGGATGGGTGGATCATCATAAACATCTGCTTTTTCCGGAGGAACAATCTCGGCTGAGAAAGACCTCGCCTTCTGAGTAGAGCTGATCTTAGACTTCACTGAAGTCTTCATAGTAGTAGCTTTCTTCTTCTGTGAAGCTGAAGATATGGCCTTCTTTATCTGCGATGAGGTCAGCTCAGTAGATGATGATCTCTTATGGCCTCCGGCGTTCACCTCTGGTACATCGACCTGCTCCTGAGAAACGTTCAGCAATTCACTCGAATTACGAATATCTGCAGCAGTGGTTAACACACGGTTATCAGCGCAATCACTCGATTTAGACATGACTTGAGAATACCTACATACCCAGTCCTTAGCACGTCTATGGATGGAAAAAAGGTAATTAGTAAATTCAACCGAATTTAAATTTACACAAAACTCACAGCGAGAGCTGAAAGAACATGAAACAGTGCAATTAGGACATAATATATGCGGGTCAGCCGCAGACGCTCAGTACCTACAACGAATACAAGTTTTCATCAATTGTAAACATGAAGAAAACACATGTCAAACAATGGAAGATTTAGATCAAATTTCAAACCGTAATGTAGAATATAATCCTAAAAACGTATACAGCAATAATTTTGATGTAAGGTCCGAAAATATAAAAGGATATGTGCCATATAGGGACCCAGGTGCTCTCACAACCGTCCTCAAGGGCAAAGAAGGAGAGAGTGACAAATATGGCCGATCATGTGACCATTTGGATGCCAAAGGGAGGAAAGGGATGCTACTCTTGGGTGAGTGATTTTACGTCCGCTTTTTTAAAGGGGTTAAAGGGATTTCAAGTGTTCCACTATCATTCGCAAGAGGAAGGAGACAAGCTTAATTAGCATGGGTCAGGATAAGGAAAAATACAAGATATCACATCGTACCCATTATCCATACATTTCACCAAATGAGAGTCTAATTCCTCAAAATTGAATCCATAATGACAAGCATATCTTCTCTTCTAATATTTACACTGGGAGAAAACCTGTTCTAGGCCTTGACATATATTTGCATTTAACAGCTTACAGTATGAGTGAGTGAGTTTAGTTTTACGCCGCTTTTAGCAATATTCCAGCAATATCACGGCGGGGTACACCAGAAATGTGCTTCAGACATTGTGCCCATGTGGGGAATCGAACCCGGATCTTCAGCGTGACGAGCGAACGCTTTAACCACTAAGCTAACCCATCACCCTGCCTACCATGCTTACATTACACAAAACAATACTTACACCATGCCATGGTGCATCAGGCAGAAGTGTCTGTTGGTAGCAGGAATTGAGCCACTGCAGACGGAAAGGCTGCTCATCCGTGGGCTTGATTTCATTAGCTCCAGGCATTTTCACAATATACAATACAACACAATATCACAATACACTGATATGTACACAATAGTGGAGGGATATGTACATCTGTCTTTATACAACTGTACAACTATATACACGTCATCTCTCCAATGTCTACCCTGAGCCAACCTCAGTTAACAACGGCCTGAAGATCGGGGGGATTTTCTCCAAAACAGAATTTTGCTTTGGGATCTCTGTAGGAATTTTCATGTTGCACACTCTGAAAAGAAATCATAAGAGTTGTCAAGCGAGCTATGTAGCTAGCAAGGGAGTTGGGGTTAATGCTGGTTCAATGTTTAAATATTTTTTACTTGAACATGTTGAAAATGAAGAGGTCTTTGCCGTTTGTGTCATGTCCAACGACGAAGAATGAGGGCTCTCTAGAGTCAAATACCATGTGAAAATACCTCAAGGACTGAAACATTCCTTGATTTTGAATACTGCTTGTTTAAGTAGTACTTCAGTCAAATCAATCATGGTGTAAGAATTTGGTAAGTTTAACTATTCATGATTTTCTATCGTCATCATGTTAACAATAACACAATACAGGGAGACTGTAATTTCCATTATCACTAGAGTGGTCATGCAGTTGAATCATTTTAAATACTGTTATTTGTGAAGTGGGCCAGCATATTAATGGTCCACTAAAAGAACATGCTGGTTTGATGATTACACACCTGGGATGATGTACGACACTTGGCTAGACACAATTCAAAGTGATCCGATACAAGTGAAAATAAGTTAAATGGTTCGTTGCTGGCCTCTCGTAATATTCTTCTCAATAAAGTTTTCTGCAAAAAAAGGAACATACTTAGATCAAGAGTGTCAAAAGACGTCATGTTTCACATCTAGTCAAAAAGACTAGCATATAGGTCCATGTACACAACATTATGATTAACAGGGGTTATATCAAGACATCAATCTACCTTGGAAACAGGTCACTAAACTTTGCTATGTTGGATTAGAGGCTCTTGAAACATAGCTATGTGTCATTATGCAAAATGATCGTAGCACAAAGGAGAATACAATAACTAGTCAGAGGCGTAAATAACGCTGACGGAGCGGCCTATCGTTTTAACGGTGACACGGTGCGCTCGGTACTAACTGAAGCTTGACCCTAACTAATTCAATTGGACCAAACTCGATTGATAACAATGTTTTAACACATTGTAGCTGAAGTTGGTTAGTACAATTCCTCTCAAAAAGTATGACATCCTTCTAAGATAATCTTGAGATATGAAATACACAATGCCATTTAGAAAGCGGTCAAATGTAACATATGTTATATTTGGGATTACACTTTCTTAGTAAAGTACAGATTCTAGTACTTTTGTTGGGTTGAGTCCCACCGAGGATTGAACCCACACCCTCAGAGTCAGGGTGTCTGAGGTTGTGGGTTCGAATCCCTGATGGGACTCAACCAAACAAAAGTACTAGAATCTGTACTTTACTAAGAAAGCGTTATCCCAAATATAACATAAGTTAAATCTTGAGATAACTCAATGTATTGATTAACAACATGTGTCATCCTGCACATCATGTAAAGGTAACCAACTTACTTTATCTGGTTGAAGACAGCAGGAGACACAGAATTCATACACTGTACAGCAACCATTGGACAGACAGCTCTCACACTGGTATCGGCGAGTGGATGAGCCTCGAATATCACAGCAGGAACCTGGGCCTATATGTTTCCTCTCACAGACATACCCTGAACAAAAACACATGTCAGTATCATCTGCCACATCAAGGCATTTCACAGAGTTCAAGGGTTCTCCAATTACTAATTTCAAGGGTTCTTACAGGAATTATGAGTGTCCTGTAGAGTAATCAATAGAGATTATTACATGCGCAAGTGTGTCATACGACTTATACGAAACAAGTGTGAAATTTTGTATTGCCCGAGCGAGAGTGCAATACCTAATTTTGCACGAATTTCGTATAAGTCGTATGACACACTTGCTCGAGTGTAATAATTTCTTTGTTATCCATTTTGTTCATTTACGTTTGTGCAGTAAAACTTGGTCTTTGTTAATTGTGCAACAAATTAAAATAATGTTGATGACAGATAATTATTCTTTTGACTGCTCATACCCATGTCACTGCACAATCACTACTTACTGATTATCTAGCGTGCCAAGAGGATTAATTAGTGTATTGGATTATGGGTCCTTGATTGGACTGCTCATACCCATGCCGGTTTAGACAGTGTTAAGTACAGCTAAAATTGCTTGTTGGGACTGGAAAGTCGTGCCGGAATACGGAATAGACAGGTGCCGGATTAGACAATGTTTTAATGATCATAATATCATTGTAAAATGACGGGAGAAAAAGTTTATGCTGGTTTTGACAGTGTGCCAGATTAGACAGGTGCCGGTGTTGGCAGGTTTCACTGTAACTTCGTGTTTATAGATTAATTTGAGGGAGTTCAGATGTTTTTGACCGACAAATTTATGACTGAGCTTTAATCCATAAGGTATCTTTCTGGTCATGCTGATAGTGATAGTATCAAATTTACCTCGTTCATCTACTAGAAGGTGTTTCCCCTGCACAGAATTACGACAATGTATTTGAAGTGTGCGGTTATTGTTCTCAGTTTCATCTGGTATCTTAGCTTGCCACTGGAATGGTTGACGCTGGGTTTTCCTCACTTTGTACTCCTCCAACACTAGATCATCAGACTGAAATAAACGGAAACATTTTGTATAACAAGCACATCACATATTATATGAATAAAACTACACTACAAGAGAGAAAGAGAGAGAGAGAGAGAGAGAGAGAGAGAGAGAGAGAGAGAGAGAGAGAGAGAGAGAGAGAGAGAGAGAGAGAGAGAGAGTGAGTGAGTGGGTGAGTGAGTGGGTGAGTGAGTGGGTGAGTGAGTTTGGTTCAACAGTGCTTTTACCAGTATTCCAGATATATCACAGTGTGTCGTGTGTCAGCTTAGTCAGTGAGAAAAGCCAGAAGTGAAGCAGGCCTCAGACATTTACCTCTTTGGTGGAGCTCATGAAAAGGGCTATAGTGCTGACCAACTTGACAAAAAATCTGGATAACCCGGATTTGAACCCTGAATTGTATTTGTAGGTTTCTGGTATGCCCATCCAATGCAACTATGACCAGCCAAATGTATCACCTTAGACAACTGGGACGTGCCACAGACCATATGGTAAGTTTCTACATGCAAGACAAACTGCTTTAGTTCATTCTCTACGGTAAAGTTCATTTACACGAGATTCTTGCATCTACTCAGTAAATAATGATGTGTATAGAAATACAGGTACACAAGCTGAAAAAGCAACATCATGCCCAGTATAGTAGTTTTTCTAAATAGATTTTTCAATGAGATTTTGTCATAAACGACTCAAAAGCAATTGGGTAATGGTGATTATTTAAGATACACTGCTTATATCAATGTATGGCCCTCTGAGTAACCTTTGATTATCTCTTTCTCATTTCCATCCCTTAACAGTCTGCAAAGATGTCTTTATCCACTAGTCCAGTGGATTCATGACATGCTGTAGGAGAGAGCAGGGATGTGCACCTCTCTTTTTTTTAAGTGCACTATCACTAAAAACGATGATGCTTTATTACAAAATATAAATGATATTATACTAACTTTCATTACAATAACTTTCAGAGTGTGAAAGACCCCCAATGCCCCCATGTGACTTCTACATGGGTTTGAGGGGTGGTGGGTTAAAGTGTTTGCTCCTCACGCCAAAGACCCAGGTTCGATTCCCCACATGGGTACAATCTGTAAAACCCATTTCTGGTGTCCCCCGCCGTGATCATAGTGATATTGCTGGAATACTGCTAAAAGCGGGCATAAAGCTAAACTAACTCACTCACATGGATTAGAGACACATTCGCAGAGGGGACACATGAAAGTCTGGGTTAGAATATTGGCCTTCAGTAACCCATGCTTGTCGTAAGAGGTGATTAACGGGATCAGGTGGTCAGGCTTGCTGACTTGGTTGACAAATGTCATCGGTTCCCAATTGCACAAATCTATGCTCCTGCTCTTTATGAGTGTGGCGTAAAACTAATCTCACTCACTCATATCTGTCAGTGATGTATCCAACTCAACTACCAAAGCTTCCACAAAATGGAATTTCCTACAAAACTATCACATAATAGTCTAGTTCAGTAGTCTAGATCACATACTTTCAGTACACATCTGTGGATTACTATGACTACTGAACAAGGACGGAAGAGTAACATGCTTAGTTGGATGACAGTGGGATTATAATGATAGTAGGTTAATACAGGCAAACTCTGTACACTAATGTTCCATCAAAGTGGTTGTGTAGGATATCAAGACATTTTGGGAAATGTGTTTATTTTTTTGCTAGTCTTGAGCTGTTGAGACAATGATTCACGGATTAATTAAGTTCACAATGCTAGAATGGTTTGGGGATTGTCAGATCATATTGCAAGTGAATTCCGAGATGGGCGCATGCGGAAACACAACATGTACCGGGGGGTTATCATGGAGGGATGTCCTTGAGCATATCCCGACGTCCATCAGCTGTACATACCCGTTTGACTGATCGATTTATCGTCCAGTGGGGATTTATCACTCGCAAACTGTTCAGATTTTTGTCTAAAATGAGTACAACAGAGTTCACCTTTCAACATGGATATTTGACGTTACCTTTGAAAATGTTGCAGCAAGGAAATATATCAACGATCCGAGGAAAATTACTCCTAACACCCAGCGTTTACGCAAAACACGGGTGCCAAACATTGGTATCGCAAGGTAAACATACAAATCTGCATGTTTCCGTCAATTGTTTCGTATTATTTTGCGTATTTTAGTTGCAATATTTATGCGTTCTTTTGAAATAATATAGTTTTAAAAAGAAACAAGGTTCTTTCATGCAAACATGATGTGGGGTATTCTCACATTTCCATCAACATTAGTAAGGAATTTTTTAGCTTTACGTCTGTACATATCACACATTTCTTAAAGCCATTTCCATTGGTTTTAAATGGAGGCTGTGATCCAATCAGAATGGCTGTATCATGACCATAGATTCGCCGACAGGTGTCAGAATTTTCAACGGGAAGTTACAACATATTGAAAACATACGACGGAACAAAACTGGTACCACCATTTTAACATTTCTGTGTGAATATAAATATTTCAGAGGAGTTTATGACTGCAGCTGTTGCAGAAATTTGTTTATGCGCGTTGACAAACCGTACGACCAAACATAAGAATCAGTAAATCCGAAATTAGGTTCTAGACTAGTCTAGTGTTTACTAGTAGGCCAACAGGCTTTGGCTTATGACTTTTTATAGCGACAAACCCTACACAACATACAAGTCTGGCTTTTAATCCCATCCTTTATGCAATTTGAATGTTTCGTTTTTTAGTCGAATTGTTTGAAATAATGACAATAATATATTGTCAATTATATTGTGTGTAGTTTAGTTAATCTGCTGCATATATCATTGTATTACATAATAGTTTCCTGATACGTAAGAACGTTGGTTTAATACTAAATGCATATATAACTGTAAAACATGCCACTGACATAAAACAAAAAATGTATCATCTTAACCACAAGTGACCGTCTCCGTGGTGTAGTGGTTAGAGTGTCCGCCCGGAGAGCGGAAGGTCGCTGGTTCGATCCCCCACTGCGTCATACCAAAAGACGTTAAAATATGGTACTTGTTGGTCCCTGCCTGGCGCTCGGCATTAATGGGTACAACAAGGACTGGTCGGCTGGGAGTCAGTATAATGTGTCTGAGTGGGGTATTCATGCTTCACTGCGGATGGTATCTCGGTGGGCTAGCACTATAAAACCAGCTTAAGTCTGGGCTAGTACAAGCAGCCGCACCTACACATACACACACATGCACGTCGTCATATGAGTGAAATATTCTCCAGTGCGACGTTAAACCCAATTTCACCTCACCTCACCTTAACCACAAGTCATCATTCTAGTTTTTATGATGTCTGTGTGAAGTAAATAATCACTATAATGCTCAAACAATCTTCTACCCAATTTCAGATAACCAGTATCTTCATGAATCGACAATGAATGAAGATAGATCACGGCAGAATCCAAACATGGACGACAGTAGGAGAGATTCAGATCAAAACTTTTCACTTCGTCTTGGGAATCTTCAAATGCCACTTCAGATTCAGAATCGTTTGCCTCTTGGGAGAAACATGACAAATATGGCTCAGGGCTTCCTGCCCCATTTCCAACAATCATCACGTACTACAGGTGCACCTGCACTGTCAGCATCAGTGATATCAGAGCCATCAGCTGTCATTGACATGTCGTCACTGGGAACTATAAACTCCCAAGCAACTATTCACCCTCAACAGCTGTATGGGGACAGCCATAATCATGGACATGGTCATGGACACGGGCACAGTCATGGACATGGACATGCCCACATGGCACCAATGCAAGATGAGAACCAAAACCATAATATTATGGCAGACAATCAGAATCCATTGAATGAGCTTCAGCAGAATGACTGGAGACCGTTTCTTCTCTGGTTCCAGAAGTGTGGGATTTTCTTTGTGCTTCTCTTCATGAAACTGATGTATGACCATAGATTAGGTAAGAATCAGAGCCCGATATCCTCATACCATTAAATTACTAGATTATCACCAGTCTCATCTTTGAGTTTCCAGATGGCTATTTTTAACGGACATGTTTCCGGCGTAAAACCAAACTCACTATTTAGGCAAAAAATAAAAGCTTATACTGGGGATGAGCTCTTACAATGAATAAGTAAAACCTCCAAAAAGGTTATCACAAAATTTAACCCACTTATGCCCCAAACAATGGTCAGTATATGTGATAGATTTATAATTTAAAAAAGTCAAGAACTGTATTCAGTTTGTGGACTTTATCACTTCATCACTTTATCAGTGACATTATATCAACATTAACCAACGTCATCCCTATTATGATCGTAAGAGTGATTTACATGTGAATTTACAATAAGGAGTCGAAAGTGTTTCAAGAATGTTTCCACCAATCATTCCGATGACTCATTTTCAGGATTACTGGTTTTCTTTGCCTTGGGTGGAACATTTTATTATGCGAACATGAAGCTTGTACAGTTCATACATCAGACTGCTGTGAGGGTGAGGAATGTTGTTGATTCCTACAAGTTGATTTGACATCTTGTTTTCCACTTGTTTAACCACTGAAATAGACTGATCAACTATGCTTCATTTATTACCCGTGACAATCCCGGGTTAGAATCAGGGGTGGAAATAACCCATTGCCCGACGTCCCAGGCCAGTGTTTTTTTCTGTTGGGCATGCAAATTTGTTTATCATGCTGTACTTATTTAAAAAAATAAACAAGAAAATCGTCCTGTATAGTGGAAACATTATCAGGGCAAGTGATTTTACATGTGCCACTGTACCAGAGTACACAGGCAATTATAAAGTTATTTCCACCCCGGACAATTGGTCTTCAGCAACCCATGATTGTCGTAAGAGGCGACTAACGGGATCGTGTGGTCAGGCTTGCTGACTTGGTTGACACATGTCATCATATTTCAGTTGCGTAGATTGATCTGCATGCTGTTGATCACTGGATTGTCTGGTCCAGGCTTGATTATTTACAGATGCCATCATATAGCTGTAATATTGCTGAGTTTGGTGTTAAACAACAAACCAACCAACCTTCATTTAATGCCATGATTTTAACATTAGGACATCTTTTCACCCTGCCTGGTGCCCTGCTTTAAGCGCTTTTTAACACAGACAAACTGGTATATGTGCTTGACCCAGGCTATATACATAAGTGTAACCTATTTTAACGTCACATAAAGCGCAAGTTTGCACCTTACATTGTTATTTACAGTCTTAACATGTTAAGTGTTATAATATTTTAATGTTCTGGCAGATTGGTTTAGATTGGTTGATAAGAATGCAATCGATAGAATTTGTCCACCACTGCTAATATCTGCATAATAAGAGTTCAAGAACATTTGCCTTGTCCCCTTTAGTGTTGTAGAGATACTGCTTTTGAATAGATCTGCTGAATAGAATGTTGTTGAGAATGGCAGTAAACAAATGCTTCGTGATATTGTCTTCTTGATCATGTTGTTCAGTGAGGTTATTATGTATCTGTTTCTCTTGACAGGAGAGTCGAGCTCTGTGGGGAGTCTTCCAACCTCTGTGGCTAATATCCTTCCTCACAGTAAACATAGCCATACTCTACTATGCATTCTCAGAACAAAATATATGGAAGCTGTAAGTACTGCATTTGTTAGATTCTTTTTCTGAACCAGAGGGGCGGTGGGTTAGCCTAGTGGTTATTTTAATGTTGACCATGTTCACTCACCATGCAGCATACCTCAGTTTAATTCCCCACATGGGTACAGTGTGTGAAGACCATTTCTGCTGTGATAATTGCTGGAATATTGGTAAAAATAGAGTAAAACCATACTCACTCACTCTTTTGACTCAAGGGATTCCTGGAAAAAGCTGGTCAACAACAAAATGTTCTGGTCATACAAGGGATGTCGTGGAACCTATATTCAGGCTAGATACCCGTGAAGATCTGAGTTAGAATTGATCTTCAGCAAGCCAATGCTTGTCGTAAGAGGCAACTAACGGGATTGGGTGGTCAGGCTCGCTGACTTGGTTGACACATGACATCGTATCCCAACTGTGTAGATTGATGCTCATGCTGTTGATCACTGGATTGTCTGGTCCAGACTTGATTATTTACAGAACCAGTGCGGCATTAAATCAATATTCAAGCTAGACATAATTAGAGCTCTGTGTGAAACTTACACAATGTCTCTAGATTGTTGGAAGTACTATTATATTTAATTACACAACAAAAGTTTTTTGAGATAGCCAAAGTGGTGTTTTATTGGACTCAGTGACATTATAGTCATCCTCCTCGGACAATGTGGGTGGATGCTCATGATATCAATCACTGGTTTGCTCGGTCCTGTTTTGTCGGCAGTATAACCATCGTTTCACTAGAGGTGTAAACGTCTGAGAGCTGCGTATTCCAACATTGTACTGACATGTTGTGATGACTACGCAATGCCTGATAGAAACTGGTCAAATGCAACATATGCTATATTTGGGATTGCACTTTCTCAGTAATCTGTACTTTATTCTGTACAACATGTGTTGCATGCTGTGATAAGCTGGAATGCTATAAAAACATGTTGTCCTTATATATACTCATAAAAAAAAGTTAAGGACTGCCCCAATTTTCAATATTAAGGTATTTTATAGTCCATATTATGATCCATATGATGCTTAAATAATGTTATTGGGGTGGTCCTTAATTTTTGTTGTTGAGCATATTGTACAATAATGCTAGGTGTTTGAAAATTCCCACCATTTTATAAATGTTTCTTACTAGGTTTGTCGAGTGATTTTCATTTTATTTGGAAAGTGTTGGGTATCAGAGAGTAATATTTGATCTTCGATTTCTCATGAGGTTTGAATGATGTTTGTTAATTTCAGATTGTTGTTCAAGATGCCTAATGTAAACGAGGTCGACATTTGGACGCTGCTGTGGATAGTCCTACTGACTGACTACATTATCAAGTTCTCCACGGTCATACTGAAGTCATTTATTGCCATGGTGCCTCTGCAGTGTCTGCCCCACAAGAGGAGGGTGAGTAGGAGGAGGATGAAGTGGTGACAAGATCAGGGCTTGCAGTGCTCTTGATACCAGCATTCAGTGTTATTTGTTTTTTAAATCACTTTATCTCTTATATTTTTGGTACAGATTAACATGGAATTAGATATTGCAGTCATATATTACATTTTATTGGACAGTATGAATATTTAAAGTTAATCTATTGGGAAACATAGTAAATGCCTGCAGGATAGGTACAATATGGTATGATAGTGTTAAGAGGCTGTGCCCTTGTGATCTGAAGGTCACAGATTTGTTGTGTGCACATTTAGTGTACAAGACATATTTTTCCTTATCCTGACGCATGATCTTTTGCTTATCTCCCTTTCCATGGGCTGGAAATAAGGAGAGAGTGACAAGTATGGACAAGTCACATGATATGGTTTGCGCGTGAAAGGGCAAGGGAGGTAACTTCGTGGGTGAGTGTATTTATACGTCCGCTTCGGGAACTTCAAGGGATTCAAGTGTTCCACTACCATTCGAAAGGGAAAGGGAGATAAGCAAAAGATCATGAATCAGGATAAGTATAAAATATCAATTTACTTAAAAAATTACATATTTTTCTGTATGATATAGACTCAAGGGGTTATTTTTTCAGGAGAGAATATGAGCTTATTTTTGTGAGTGAGTGAGTTTAGTTTTACACCGCATTCAGCAATATTCCAGCTATATGACTGCGGTCTGTAAATAATTGAGTCTGGACTAGATAATCCAGTGATCAACAGCATGAGCAGCAATCTACGCAAATGGGACACGAGGACATGTGTCAACCAAGTCAACGAGCCTGACCAGCTGATCGCCTCTTATGCAGGGCTCGATTTAAGAGATTTTAACCTACTTGCACCAGGTGCAACCTAAGATAAAAACCTAGTTGCACCAGTCAAATTCCAGTTGCACTGTTTTTTTTGCAATATGTAATATCAGAAATATGCTATTGATTTATTTAGATGTTTTATTCAGAAGTTTACCCACTCAATAATTGACTTGCGCGTAGTGCAAGTTAGACTAATACCTAGGTTGCACTTTGTAATATTGGGTTGCACCAGTGCAAGTAACAAAGCACTAAATCGAGCCCTGTTATGACAAGCATATTTTTGTATAAACAGTGTGATTTCAGCTTATTCTTAATTATCACTGTTTGTTTTTTCAGGGCAAATATTTTATGTTTGTGGAGCATGTGTCTCAATGTTACCGTCACCTAATACCCATAATTCCTTGGATACACTTCCTGTCTGATGATCAGCAGTCAGCTCGCTGGTTCTCCATCTTGTGTGTAATAGTATATGGTGTCTTCAAACTAAGCATTCTATGGGGATTGTGGCGGGAACTCATCAAGGCATTCAACAGACTCCGTGTTCAAGCAGTGAGTATAATTTGTATCAGTAATCACTTAGGGTAAGAGATTGATTTCTACAAGTTTTCACAGACAATCTGCTGGTGTTGCCATGTATTTAATGGTGAAAGTAATATTCCACCAGCACTGTCACAGTTTACTGGTCTCAAATGTACACACACGTTTGTTTCAAAACCTAATAATGTGCAGGAGAATCAGGGTTACTTATGGGGTTTCACTTTTTTGAGTCATTATGACTGCCATGTTTCTTAAGAGTCAAAACAAAAGTTTAAGGGTAACAGTTAGACAGAGAACTTTTTAAATTTGCCTGTTGGCTGGCATTGTGACTCATTTGTACAGAAATATGAACACATCAAACGGTCCAATTTCAAAGAATGTGTCATCTGATTATTTTTTTAAAATTGATTGGTTAATAGGCTGCTGGAATCCTAGATCGCCAATCGAGTTTACATACAACAGTACAACCAAGGAGATTAAAACTTTAGGTCAGAAAGATCAGCAGAAAGATATTGTTGTGTGCACTTGATAAATAACAAATCAGGTGTTTAAGACAGATTTGTGAAGAATCTTTTAATGTAACAATTGCTTAAATGTTTACAGAATTTTGGTGTGAAACCGACTCCAAGTGAGTTGAAGAATCGAGGAGAACATTGTCCAATATGCCAAGATGATTATAAGGAACCAGTCATGCTTACATGTAAAGTAAGTAAACGGCTTACGTTTCACGTGTTGGTTTCTGTTACATAACTTGCCTTTACAAAATGTTTGATATTGATATTAATATTTTTCTCAAATGATGTATAAACAGAAATCACCTGTGAAGATCTGGGTTAGAAATGATAGATTTGGCCTTCAGCTTGTTGTAAGAAGCGGCTAACAGGATAGAGTGGTTAGGTTCGCTGTTTTGGTTGACACATGTTATCATATCCCAACTGTGTAGATTGATGCTCATGCTGTTGATCATTGTATTGTCTGGTCAAGACCCGATTATTTACGAACTTCTGCCATATAGCTGGTATATTGCTGAGTGTGACGTCTAATAATAATCAAACCAACAAATCAAACTGAAATAAGAAATTTAAATGTAATTAGCTGGGATATAGGCTCCATTGATCTATTTACGAAATCAGTATGCTCTGCAGTGTGCGAAATAGCCACTGGCCTGCTAGCCTGTGGCTAGTATATCTGCACACTCACTGGCCTGACTTGCTAGTGAATTTCCATAGTCATTTTGTAAATATATCACTCTCTCAGACTTGTTCAGTTAATACACTTTTAAATCCTGCAAGATTATGGCCTGATAAAAATGTTCATCATATTAGCAGCTTAATGATGTAACCTGTGTCTACATTCAAATTTCGGGCTAGTGAATTATGTTGTAGGCTAGTAACATTCAGGCATAGCTAGCAAAATTTGGAAACTAGTTCGCACACTGATGCTCTGTGTATAAAAGGAATAATCATGTATTTCATGTTTCTAATTGACATTTCCCCCATGTTTTCTTTTAGGTATGCAGGGGTAGGAGCTAGCACTAACCCCTGGCAGGCTTTTATTGTCATGGTTGTTGATTATTTAATATCAGTTTTGGGTCTTTTTTATTGTTATTTAGTGTTTTTTCTATTACCAAGTACTAGCATCATGTACACAGTGTGCATGTACAGAAAAGGATTTATTGAAATATGACTCGTACCTTGGCTGTCTCCCTTGTAAGAAATTACAAGGAATAATGTCTACCATATGTCAATTTATATCAAGTTGTTTGTTAATTATCATTTAGTTGACCCTCCAGATCTTGACTTGCCCTACAATACTCTTAATGAATGATACTTGTTACATGTTGCTTGGGCTTTGAGTCAGTATACTGGGTTTGAGATGGGGCATGGAATGTCGGGTGCGAGTTCTGTAATGCAAGCATTAGTGTTGACTAATTCAAACAGTCACACCCATGCATGTGGCTATTAGACGTGAAATATTCTTGGAGATTATGTTTCATAGTAAACCTCCAACCCCTGGATCTTTAATTTGACATAAAGAGAAGGCATTAGTTTGTCTCACTGTTTTCTAACTTGTATGGTGATGTATTTGATACACACTGAGATGAATATTTTCTATCATACTAACATGTTGTATTTTCAGCATGTGTTCTGTGAAGATTGTGTGTCACTGTGGTTTGACCGTGAAAGAACTTGTCCCATGTGCCGGGCTCAGATTACAGACAATCCCCATTTCCAGGACGGGAGTACAAGTTTCCATCTACAGTGGTATTAATACCTCCTTGTGGTATCCGTACCAATGATGCTCAGTCTTCGTCTTAGTCCGGACGTATTGAAACTCACTGAAGTCTTCAGAAACTTTCTGATGTTGCTGTTCCCAAGAACTATGATCAGCTGCTTTTAACCTGAGTGAATGTTGTTTTATGACAACGTCAGCAATGTTCCAGCCATATACTGGAACCTGTAAATAATCAAGACTGGACAAGGTAGCTACCTCCTTGATTATCTGTGTATTATGTATTCATTCTGTTGTGATAAATACCTCAGACTTTCCCCATAGCTTACATTTGGGAAGTGACGCCTCTTTCCTATCCCAGGTTTACTCCAAAATGTCTTTTAGAATGAGAGTATGGGAATTTATGAAGACCTGCTCAAAGGCCAGTACATGTATCTGACTGCAAGACATGTCTGTAGACTTTCCCAAACTGGAATTACAAATTCGTGTAGTTCATTCAATTTATGCAGTATCAGGTAATATTATACATTGTAGATGTGACATGTATTTACTCGGACCGGTTTCAGCTTAATAAAATTGCATGTTACAGGCACTTAGTTTGGAGTCCTGGATAAATTCTTGGAGTAATTAATTTGGATAGCTATAATTATTACAGTATTTAAAATCAGGTTCAAACTGAAGCTGTGTTGGCTTATCAGTCCAGTGTATTTGTCATACAAGAATGGATATATAACTCCCCAGAAAAATTAGGGTTGTATAACCAGTGGTTGATAGTATGAGTGACAATCGCTGGAGTCAAGGCATGATGTCACTGGCGACCAGGTGTCATAATATGGCCACTGTATCCTTGGATTAGTTGGCACTTCCTTTAAGTATGGGATACTGTGTTGGTTTTGTACCTTGGGAACCCCACAGGTAATGACAGTTTGTTGTATAGTATTCCTGGTAACCATGGTAACAGTTTTTGTTTGCTCTCAGCTGGACTGGTGTTCTGATGACTATTTATTGATCAGTATTTGATGCCATGCACATATAGTTTGACATCTGACAGTTTCCTTTTGAACATTGTATTTAAGTCTTGAATTTTGTTATCCCCTTGTGGTAAATACATGAATAAAAGCTCTGGCTCCAGACTTGTCCAGATATTATCTTAGTCTACCGGAATATATCTTTAAAGCTTTGGAAATTTGTTTTCAAAATACTAGTACTCTAAGTGTGAATCAAACAAAAAGTGTCACTATGTTAACATTTTCTATCAGTTGAATTCATTTCCATTTTGTAGCAAAATTCTTTGTGAACTGGATTCAATCTGTAGCCCACAAATGATACCTTTTACTGAGGTCTACCATCACTGGAAGTCTACTATACTAGACCACAGCAAAATTTAGCAATCATGAGCTAGAGTACTAGAATTTTGAAGGCTGAAATGTAATTTGCTTCATGTCTCAAAATGTATGTTTGCACTGTATATAGAGACATTACCTGTCATGAACATATTGCCGTCATCAGTTGAAGAATCCTGTATAAAGGTACGCTGCGTTTGTATATGGTGTAACCAATCAGGTATCATGTTACTACTGTGTTACATCATGATTTAAGGCTGCTGTTGATAGACCCCAGGGTTTTGCATGATTCTAAATATTGCACTTAATACATGTATAAAATCAGAACAGATGTCGATAATATTCACTGCCAGTCCCATTACCAACATTCATGATTTGTGAATAATGTAAATCTAAGAAGTCTAAGGTAAATCCCTGGATCTGAAATTAAGAAAATATTTTGGTAAATGTGGAGACATTGGTTTGATAAAAGCTGGGTTTGCATTAGTTGACTAGGTATTATGTAGGTATTTTCTGAGGTCCAATTGTGCTTGCTCAAATCAGCTGTTACAGTATCTATTACAGAAATTGAGTCAATATGAATTGCATAATTTAACAGTGTGTGTTTTAATTACTTGTATTTCATCAACAGAAAGTTGGGGAATGTTTAAAATGAAGTGTGTTGGATAGTATCACATTTAATTTATATCTATATTTGCACACACGGACACCTGTCCATGTAAATCCCTTTTGTCATCATCTGTGAAATATACTAAGTGTTAATAACCTTCACGAAAACAAGAAATGGAGAATTGTAGATGTACAGCATTGATATTATTCTTCACATTCTCCTTTAAATTTGACTGGGACTAATAAAATAATTACTTTTTCAATATTTCACAATATGTATTTTTACAATGTTTAACACAGATGGCTTAAGACGGATTTCAATGTTTCTTGAATAGTATCAATCTGGATCATATCAAAATATTAAATATTAATAGGTTAAGTGACAGATATTTCCTACTGTCATAACAAAATGTTAAATATTAATAGGTTAAATGACAGATATTTCCTACTGTCATAACAAAATGTTAAATATTAATAGGTTAAGTGACAGATATTTCCTACTGTCATAACAAAATGTTAAATATTAATATTAATTTCAGCTTGTTTGAAGAGTGACTTGATTAATAGTATGGCCACAAAATGTCCAGCATGCATCAGTAATCATGTTCTAAGAAATGCTGAAACCATTGATTGAAGTTGATTCATATTCTGTGAATATGATTTGCAACTGTATTTCTAATAAATGCTTGCAGACATCTGCTTTGATTTCAATATGGCCTCCATGGCAGACATATTTAAAATATTATATTGACCTCTGCTTGATTTCACTGAATTTAATGACCACAGCAAAATACCATGTTCCCATATATCCTGGTGGTAGTATTAAATATACACTTCAAAAAGAGGGTAAGGTCTTATCATGGTAATGGAGGACTGTCATGTACAGCACTTATGTAATTTCCAATTATGCATTGAAAAATAATTGTTGTGTACCAATTACACATTTAAAATGTTATATAAGCACAAAGTTTAAAACATATGCGTACGGAATATATCTATAAAAAGATAATGAAAAAGACATCGATTGGTATCAAGTTGTATTGGTAGTATAGGACTAGTGTTGTACTGTCAGTACAGGATGAGTGATTTTTTATGAAATCATTTCCATTATATTTAAGTTGGTTTTGATTAGGTATGACATGAGGCAGAACATACCTGCTTAGTAAACTTACTCAATGACATATACTTAGGTGAGTAAAATCACTGCAATACCCACATATTTGAAAGCAGTGGGTAACGGAAAATGAAATACCCACTCAACATTCATAATACCCACTCCAAATAAATACAGTGGGTACAGTACCCACATGAGCTTAACCTTATCTGGAGCTCTGTGATTCTACTCTAATTTATGCCATTTTCTCTTGTAAATAATCATGTAAATTCATTGTACAGTATATTTAATTTCTTCAGACTGTTTTAAGTGAACTTATGTCACTAGTGAGATAACTGATTTGTTATTTCCATGTTTCATCAAAGCATATCTCGCCAAAAAATATAATGGTTTTGTAAACATCAAATATGGGTTTTAAGGGGTGAAAGAATATACTGCAACAGCATTGTTGACATTCACGCTATCCCACTGGCCTGGGTCTAGTAAAATGTTGACAGGACCAGTGCAACTTTTATAAGTGCTATCCTGACAGTCTAGTAGATAGTTAAGGCTGTCAATAAGTGTCCCTTAGCAGGACCAGTAAGAATCTGTAAGGACCAGTGATTTTTAAAAGTTACTGGTCCTGTGGTCTTGTTTGAGAATTTGGGTGAATGTCAAGCCCTGAACAGTATGTAGCTATATGAAACATATCGTAAAAAACCTGTGTATTGTACAGCAGAGACTTTGCACATTTTGCTATTCTAAGAAGACAGTACCAGACATGTTTTGCCAAACTGCTAAGAGAAAGATAAATCTTAACATTTTGTATTAACTGACAAATATAACAGGCAGATGTTTAAATCATTACATGTTTTAACCTGTTTGAGAATCAGCAAATAAACTGTCCAAACAATACACCAGCACAAACCTGGACTTTTTTCGTGTACAGTTTCAATTAAATACTGATGCAGGAAAAAATATTATTTGGTGGAAAGGTGTGAAGTAATTTACTTTGAAAATGGCAATATTAGGATATATTTATAGGGACCTGATGTCCCAGCAAATTATCAACATTAATATTTATGTATGAATTATTATCACTTCTAATTTGTAATGTGTATCCAGGTATGAGTTAACAGTGAATTAATAAATTACTGCCTAATGAGATCAGTATTTTCTGAAAATTTAAAATAGATCAATTAATTTAAAGAAGAACACAAATATGCTTCATTGAAAGTGTTTGCAGTACATTTAGAAATTCACATGAACAGTTTCCTTAAAGCTAGTCATTTGGACTTGCACTTATATTTATAATACACGTGCATTTTGTGCTGTTTGATCATAGTAGACAGTACATATACATGGACAATGCTCCAGCTTAGAGTTATAGAGTGAGGGGAAAGTTAGTATTGCAGAAAGTAGGTCAGCAAACTGTTAATTTGTTGCAGATAATATATTGTTAAAAGTTTACAAAACATTTTTGGACAATGTCATTAAGTAGTACTTCACAAAGATCTCATTGATCCAGATATCACCATTCCTGTGAAACTGTCATGATTTGTATGTTGCTGCTATAGAAAATATTTGTTTCAGGATAATTCTGATATTATTAATATATGTATCAGTATTTGACAGAAGCTGCCAAGGTAGCAGGCAACATTCATGTAGCTTTATGGTGTAGGTAACTTTGAAAAATTACAACCTCAGTGGGATTCTGGGTCGTCATCCACAATGCATTTGTAGTGTTACAACCTATCATGGGCTTCAAATGATGTAACGCTATGAACACTTTGTGGATAGGGTCCAGGGCCCCGTTTCACAAAGCTCTCATAACTTCTCGTAGCATTCGTACTTTCCTATGTTACAGTAAAGCAGGTACCAATGCTGCGAGAAAGGTTACGAGATATTAGGCCTACGAGACCTTTGTGAAACAGGGCCCAGGACCTATATTTTCGAAGCTCTCTTATCGCTAAGATAGTCGTAAATTAATGTTAGGGTATGGCACTTACGACTGACTATCTTAGCGCTAAGAGAGCTTTGAAAATCTAGGCCCTGGTCTCGAGGCTTTTTACTGATAATGTGGTCAGTCTCAGTGACTTGTTTCATTGTGTTGTCAATATTTTCTGACGGACTACATTGTTGCTCACAAAATCCATCACTGGATTGTCTGGTCCAGACTTGTTTATGTACAGACCACTGTCATGTAGCTGGAATCAAGCTGAGGGTGGCATTAAACAGACAACAAAGAAGACAGTTAAGCTAAGCCTTGCTTGTGTCTAAAAGATGAGCATTCAAACTGCAGACTGTTCAGCTGAAACACTTTTAACCATTCCCAAGGGCACTATTTTTCAAATATCGACTTTAGCTATGTTACAGTGTCTAGAATGTTGGTGTTTCTGAATTATTTTAGTCCTTTTAATTTTTGTTTTATAACTTTGGTTTCATTTGCTGGTAACATAATACTTGAGGCTGTGATGTGAATGTACAGAGCTTTATGATTATCAAAAATGTAGCATGTGAATAAATATTGACATGTGACAAGATACTTATTAATTCTTTTTTTCCCCAAACAAAGTCCAGTTGTGATTGATTGTTCAAAGTATTATTTTCGGTGTGACATAACAGCTGATGTTTTCTTAGATGTCTAGGGCATGAGTAGCCTTGGACATGAGAGAGAGTGAGTGAGTGAGTTTATTTTTACGCCACACTCAGCAATATTCCAGCTATATGGCGGGGGTCTGTAAATAATCGAGCCTAGACCAGACAATCCAGTGATCAACAGAACGAGCATCGATCTGCGCAATTGGGAACGATGACATGTGTCAACCAAGCCAGCGAGCCTGACTACCCGATCCCGTTAATCACCTCTTACGACAAGCATGGGTTACTGAAGAAGGTTCATTCTAACCCGGATCTTCATGGATCCCTTGGGCATGAGAAGCCAAGTCAGACATAATACTTTTCATGTCAGTGATACAGTGGGCATGCTGGACACCTATGGTAATGGGATCAAATCACCCTGGTGCAGTGGGGTAGCCTAGTGGTTAAAGCATTCACTTGCCACGAAATACCCGGTGGAGGCTTATCGGAACGTATACCCTGGAGTTATCGAGGATGTGCTAATAGCAGCTTTACTCACTCTTTCAAATCGCCCCGAATATGATTCCAGGGTTGTCAGCACTACACCAGTCCTTGCATGTTCGCCACATTTAAGGCCAAGTTTGCTTCGGACTTTCCTCATACATTAAGGGAGCAGTCGGGTAGCCTAATGGTTAAAGTGTTGGCTTGTCATGCCAAAGACACGGGTTCGATTCCCCACATGGGTACAATGTCTGAAGCCCATTTCTGGTGTCCCCCGCTGTGATATTGCTGGAATATTGCTAAAAGCGTCGTAAAGCCATAATCAATCACTCACTCACTCCTACATTGCGCCGCCATATAGCTGAAATATTGCTGAGTACGGCATAAAACTCACTCATTCCTACATTGAGCTGATACGCTGTGAGATAACTGGAACAGTGTTCAAAACAGCATTTCTTACTTCCTTTCTCATAGCAGCTCTGGGATATTGCTCCTCTTCTACCTTCCCAAGGGGGATTCAGGGTTAGCATGTGGTCCCAGCAAACCTGGGCTAGTTGTGAGGGACTAAATGAATCTGGTGATCAAGCTCACTCAAGTGACTGTCATTGTACCCCAACTGAGTGGATATTACTAATTAATATCAACCACTGGTTGTCTGGTTCATTTTGTATAGCACTCCATCATACAGCGTGAGTAAGTGAGTTTAGTTTTATGCCACTTTTAGCAATATTCCAGCAATATCACGGCAGGGGACACCAGAAATGAGCTTCACGCATTGTACCCAAGTGGGAATCTTTAGCATGACGAGTGAATGCTTTAACCACAAGGCTACCCCACTGAATATTGCTGAGTGAAAGGTTAGACCCACAAAAACAAACGACTTCCATCACATGCAGGATTTGCCTGATTTGATTCAAGAAATGAAAACATTCTGGTCCGGTGAAAAACCCACCCTTCAATTGTCTATCTGTGAATGTGCAGCTAATATGCCATGAGCATCTGTTGCCACGGTTACTTCAAAATGATGTGTCCAAAAACTGTCCAATTTTCTTCCAAACTGGTCTTCATGATATACATCAGAGGATCCATGATCAACCTATGGTCGAGCGGCCATGATTGGTTGATTGGATGGTTGGCTGGTGTTTAACGCCACACCCGGCAATATTCCAACTATATGGCGGCCATAA